GGAGGAGGAGGCCCATTGCAGAAGGATTCTTGGCAAGTCTCAGCTCATAATCAGCCTTAGCCTTGCAAAGAATCCTTCTGCAATGGGCCTCCTCCTCCCGGTATACCCTTTTGTCTATTTGCCCCAGTATCCATTTCCTACAGAGGTTCCTCTTTCGTCTAATCCCTCTAACCACCTCCTTTCGCATCCATGGCGGCACTCTCCTCCACCTCCCCACCTTACTAACTAGAGGTATCGTTAAGGCTTGCGCCTCCAAAACCTCCCTTTTGAATGCCATCCACCCCTCCTCAACTCCCTTACCTTTCCCCAGTCTGGCCTTCAGTTGGCCAGAGTTGGCCCTCTTGAAGTTCCAGCTTCTAGTGCTGGACCTGCTGCCCGTCCCCAGTCCCCTGATCTCAAAGCAAAGGATGGAGTGATCACTCGCATCCAGATCTCCCCTAATCTGTACTTCATCTATCAGCTCCTCTCTATTGGTCAAGACCAAGTCAAGGATGTTTCCCCCCCTCGTCGACTCTCAGACCCTCTGTGTGAAAATCCTTCCCTCTATAGCTTCTAGGAAGCGACGTGACCTGGCTGTCACCACCGAGCGAGTCTCCCAACTAATATCCAGGAGATTGAAATCTCCCATAATTACTGTGTCTCTCCCCCGAGATATCCTTAGAATCTGGCCTGTCAGGACATCATCCAGGGTCTCAAGTTGATCTGGAGGGGGATAACATACCCTCACTGTCAGGTCCCTTTCCCTGTCAAAACCCCTAAGTTTCACCCAGACTGCCTCTACCGAATCCCCATCTGTGCTGCATTCTATCTCAGTGCATCCTATCCCTTCCCTGACATATAAAGCCACGCCCCCACCTCTCTTTCCCTTCCTGTCCTTCCTAAAAAGGTGATACCCTTCTATGTTCACATTCCAGACTTGCCTTTCATCCCACCAAGTTTCTGTGATTCCCTCCAGGTCATACCCTCCTATTCCCAGGAGAGCTTCAAGCTCTTCCTGCTTATTACCCATGCTCCTAGCATTGGTGTACATGCACCTCAGCTCCTTCCCACCACTTCCTTTCCTTGGAGTTCCCAGCCTCCTTCTTCCTCCCTCATGTATTGCAAGACCTCTGCAAAGTACCACACGAGAGAACACATTGCCCCTTCCACGCTGCCCGTATCTTTCCTGATACGGATGCAGTGTACACTTGTTACAAGGTCTCCTTTCCTACATGCCTGTCATTTTGCTCAAAAGGGCGCACTGTGAACTCGAGTCGCTACCGCATCTTTTCTGCGAGGAAGTGCGGCACAGTTTTGAAACACTGTGAAGTGATCACCTTGGGAATTCAGTTCAGGGTCCCTGTTATTTCTTTTCTGCCACAGGACCAGCGCCTCTAGGGGGCTTGAAGATTTCTTGTGGAACCACTTACAAAGTGAACCAGCTCTGTACTAAGTGAAGCCGGAGCTAGAACTAGCGAAATAAGAGTTTAGCAATGACAGATTTTTCTTGCTAGACCTTTGCCTTAGAAAGTAAATGCAGAGAAGCTAAAGATTCAGCAAGACTAGATTATGGCAAAATTAATTTGCTGAAATTTCAGCAAATTAAAAACCACCAGATCTTCAGCAGTCACAGTAATAGTTTCTGGCTGGCTTGAAGTCACGTCAAAGCTGTGATGCAAAATGGTTTATGGAATCAGGATACAAAGGACTGAAGGGCTTTTTTTTTCTAGCAAACATCAGAACAATACAAATACCAAGGCTGCGGAAATTAAAAGGTAAACTGTTCCTCCTTTATTGAAGTTGACATTTCTGTGCGAAGTTCACGCTGCTGTTTAGAGAGCGTGACTCCAGCTCTTTTATAAGGAAGTGGGTGGCTCTGAAAAGAGCCTTTGGGTTCTTGGTTGCCTTACTCAGCAGCGTAGTCTGGCTTACTTGGAGCTGGTGTACTTGGTGACAGCCTTGGTGCCCTCTGACACGGCGTGCTTGGCCAGTTCCCCAGGCAGCAAGAGGCGCACAGCAGTCTGGATCTCCCGGGAAGTGATGGTGGAGCGCTTGTTGTAGTGTGCCAAGCGGGAAGCCTCCCCAGCGATGCGCTCAAAGATATCATTCACAAAGGAGTTCATAATACTCATCGCCTTGGAGGAAATGCCAGTATCGGGGTGCACCTGCTTTAAAACCTTGTACACGTAGATAGAGTAGCTCTCCTTTCTGCTTTTGCGCCGCTTTTTATCCCCCTTTTTCTGGGTCTTCGTGACTGCTTTCTTAGAACCCTTCTTAGGCGCAGGAGCAGACTTAGCTGGCTCAGGCATTGCGAATGAAGACGCACAGCTTTCTCTTCCGCAAAAAAGAAAAACAACTGTGAAGAAGGGCTATCTCTCCCACGCCTTTATTTATACTCTTCCTATGCAAATAAGGGGATCCAAAGCCTCACGTTCTCATTGGTTGGAGACATTTCCGATAGCATCACTCCTGCGCACGCACATGCAAATAAGAGTACTGTAATCCTCGAATTCCTATTGGATAGAACTCTTACTTGCGTTCCCTATTGGTCGTCTTTACAATTTGCATTCTTATTGGCTCTGAAATGCGGGTGACACAGTTGGCCAATTGGCAGTCGCGCTTCCCGATGCGAGGAGGGGATAAAAGGCGTCGGATCCTCTCTTTTTTTGCTAGGTGCTGTTTTATTTTTTCTTGCGTCTTCGAGTGGAGCTGACTTGGTGTCGCCATGTCTGGCCGTGGGAAGCAAGGGGGCAAAGCAAGAGCTAAGGCGAAATCTCGCTCATCTCGAGCGGGGCTTCAGTTCCCCGTCGGTCGTGTCCATCGCCTTCTCCGCAAGGGCAACTACGCGGAACGAGTTGGTGCAGGCGCCCCTGTATATTTGGCTGCGGTGTTGGAGTATCTCACGGCTGAGATCTTGGAGCTCGCCGGTAATGCTGCCCGGGACAACAAGAAAACCAGAATCATCCCCCGTCATCTCCAGCTGGCGGTCCGCAACGACGAGGAATTGAACAAGCTATTGGGAGGAGTTACTATTGCCCAAGGTGGAGTCTTGCCTAACATCCAAGCAGTTCTCCTGCCCAAGAAGACTGAGAGCCACAAGCCTAAAGGCAAATGAAGCTGTTGCTGCTCGAACAAATATCCGCGTGACACAAAAGGCTCTTTTAAGAGCCACCCACAATCTCAAAAAAGGGGCTGATACTTAAGTCAGAATGTGGGAAGTGCTATGCCTCTGCCAGTAATGAATGAAGTTTTCCGTGTGTGTTTATGCTAGGAATGTATGTATGTATAAATGAAATAGGCACTTTTTTTAGACTGTTCAATGATTATCCATTTCCCTTGTGTTTCTTGGCTGTCAGAAGCTCATTTCCCCACTGCTTGTTCTCATGACTGTTTCCAAAAGTTGTCCGACCCATGGCGACCCCATAGACAATATTCCTCCAGGCATTCCTGTCCTCTACCATCTCCCGGAGTCCACTTAAGCTTACATTGAATAATACTAATGAAGCCTTATAACAGTAAACAGCTCTTTGTTGATGAAGTGGCGGCCCTTAAAAGGGCCTTTGGGTAATTAATAACTAGAACACTAGATTTCTGTCCAGTTTAGCCACCAAAGCCGTAGAGAGTGCGGCCCTGGCGCTTCAAGGCGTACACCACATCCATGGCGGTCACCGTCTTCCTCTTGGCGTGCTCGGTGTAAGTCACAGCGTCCCTGATGACGTTCTCCAGAAAAACCTTCAGCACGCCGCGAGTCTCCTCATAGATCAGCCCAGAAATACGCTTCACTCCGCCACGGCGAGCTAAGCGACGGATGGCAGGCTTGGTTATGCCCTGGATGTTGTCACGAAGCACCTTGCGATGACGCTTAGCGCCCCCTTTCCCAAGACCTTTCCCGCCCTTGCCACGGCCAGACATGCCTGATATCTTTGGCTGCTTAGATAGTAGGAATACACGGTGTGTTCTTGCGGCGTGTGTCTATATTGTCCTATAACCGACCAGAAAGGAAACTGAGGAAAGGAGCCGTGAGAAGGCAAGAGCACTGATGCTACGTCCTGCTTCATCTTGATAGGGCGAGGCTATTAACCTTTCGCCAATAAGACGCCGCGATATTTCAAAGTAGCCAATGACAAAACAGGTGCTACTATTTAACTGTAAGATAGAGTTTGCCGCCTTTTTTTCAGCTCCTGAAAGTACCTATGACTTTAAGGAGTGTTAGGGCATGTAATTTTTTCTTCCTTTCAACATTAAGCCATGTAGCTATTTTGCCTTCGCTGTTCAATTTTACTAATAACCCAATGTTTTCTATTTGCCAGTATCGATATCAGCGGTATCAAATGGGAAGGCCAAATACTATGCAATTACAGGAGATAACAAATTTAGGAGAAAGATGCTTAAGCAGAAGTTTGGAAAAGGATAGGACTGGGGGATTTGAGCTATTGGAAATCAGTGCATGTGTAAGAACTGTGTCTGGGCCTTGAGATGTTGCTGCTTGGAGGGGACAGCACTGCAGTTGCTGACTGATTGTATAAGGCTGGTATTGCTAGAAATTTTTTTGAAGAGTCCCAAGATTCACCAACTGGAGCCAGATTCCAAATACTTAGAATCAAAGCATTCTGAGCTCAGGAACTTGTTCTGAGCACTACAATTGAACAATTCACACTCCTTTCAGACAAAAATCCAGCAGCTGATTACCTCAAGTTGTCTTCATTTCAACAGCTGGGATGATTTTGTTGATACTGTTGTTGAATATTTGGGAATAAAAATACCCCCAAATACCCCAGGCATCTGCCAGTAGTTCCTGATGCATCTTATCTCTGGTATAAGGTAGCTTCATATGCTACAAAGCAGTAGCCAACATTTAGATGATAAATTTTATCCAAATGTAACCACCCAATACACTCCAGTCCCTTTTTTGGATCTCTATCCTAGACCATCAATGAACAATTATGAACTGGATACATTGCTCTGAAACACAGCTCTATCAGCAGAAATGAAAAAAATTGCAAGTGATACAGAATTTCCACTCTTCAAGAAAACTTGCATGCTTCCATGAAACAATACAGGAGATGGCTTGTTAGCTGTTTTTATTGTATTTTTATTATTTTGTGCAAATAGCTGTTAGTCACCCAGATAACTTTAGCTACTAGGTGTAAAATGAGATAAAGCAAACAAATAGAGAAGTGAGATTCAATCAAAAAGTTTCCCAATGCCTTGAAAGGGGTTAGTGTCACAATAAACACCTGAATGAATAAATTGAGAAATCAGTTAATCAGCTAATACCTGTCAGCTGTCTCAGTGCAAAGTTTTATATCAGAAACTTGTGCTTACGTCTTAATATTCCAATTGCAATCATAAGCAGAACTCTAACAAAGGAACTGTTGTGGGTTAGGAGGATCTGGACACCAAATTAGGTTCTGTAGTGATAAAACTACCAGTTAGAACATTGCTCCTGGCAGGCCCTTACAAACCTACCCTGCTACTGCAGCTCCTTTGCAAGGAAGTGATTGAGCTTCTGTGATACACAGATGGAGAGGTGCTCTTTGTGGAGGCCTGAACTGCCTGCAAGCTGAGCCAATGTTACATGATACTTAGAATGGTGGAGGGTAAGGTGCCTGCTTAATCTCCCTCATGCAAGTTACTTGGAGTACTTCTGGCCCAGGACTATGTGAGCAGCTGATCATGTGCCACATACGGTGAGGTGACCACTGGACCAGACCAACACACATTATGCAGGGCTTCATACTTACCATGTAGAGAACTAATGTATCAGAAAGCAAGGTCCCTCATCGGTTGGTTTTGTTATCGGCAAGATGGTTCACATGCATTAAAAATACAACCACCACCTACAGCAACAGACCATTTGAGCACATAAAGCTGTTTCACAATTAGCCATTCTAGCTCAATGTTGTCTCCTCTGAAAGACAGTGACTTTTAAACTAAACTTGTACAGAAAGCTCATACTAATCCTAATCTCTTGGAAGGACAAAGTGAATTGTCATTTATGGCAGCTGCCCCATAACTTCAAGTTCTGGAGTCACAGCTTTAAGTTCCACCAGAATCCCTCCCAACCTCCTGTTCACCTCATTTCTAAAGATTTTTTTTAAAAATAATTTTGCCAGTTTGTAAAGCAAAGTGATAACCCTCACCACTACATTTCATTGGGTTCCAATGCATGATCTTGATTTTTTGGGGAAGGCAACTCTCCATTTTTGACTTGGTCTAAAATTCATGAGCACCTTGCTTTTCTTTTAAACTCACCAGTTTGCTTTCTGGAAAATGCTGGTTTTACAGCTGGCCATGTGCATGATGACTAGACAAGCACATTCTTAATTTTCTTAGATGCTCACCAACCAAGAAAGCTTGGGGATCCTAACTTGCCCATGTGTCCATGCTACAGAGGATCATATTTACATTTTTATGATTATGTATGTTGGTTTGTTTTTCCTGTTTTAACTGCTGTACAGCAGTTTTAGAATGTTAACTATGGAACAATTTCTAGAAACTTTAAATAAATGATAGTATTATGTGTATGGCATGCCAAATTTCCAAAGGAACCACATCCTCTGAAAAAGTTCTGCTGGATGACAGAGTAGAAGCAGAACTGGATGAGAACTACTGTCCTGTTGTCTCTGTCTCAGAGAAGGCTCAAATGGTTGTTTCTCTCCCATGTTTGACCACTGTCCTGAGCTTTTCTTCCATCTGTGTTCCAGCCACTTTTTCACACACACCTTTTCACACTCGCTTTATTGCCTTCAGCACAGCAGAACACATGTTGCTACATGGGGCACCTGCTCAATGGAAGGGGATGCTTGGGAGTCATTGTGTCCATTTACTCTCCATTCAGGAGACAAGTGGAGTTTTGACAGGAGCACTCAGCCAGACCAATCAAGCTTCCCCCTTGGCCCTCAAGAATCCCTCAGAATCCATGAGCCCTGAAGGGTCATGCATTTCAACAGCCCCATTGCTGGGTTAAAAGGAGAGAACATACTTAAGGCTTTATCACAAATCCCTGCTTCCCACAGCAGCTGTCACCAGATGGTAACTTGGATATCCTGCAAAAAGGCAGGGAAACTGAAAACTATTCGCACAGTAGCAGTTACCAAAGCACCACACACTATTTTAATGGTAATAATTTCCATCTTGCAGTGAGAATAGCAATGCGATCTTAATCCAATAAAGCACCACATTTGAGCGTGCATATCCAATGGGAGCAAAGAAGAAATGAGGGGTTGAACCAAGCCCTGGATTCTCTCTGGTGTTCTATGGCCACATGCTCCAAACCACAGAGCTGCGATTGGTTGAAGTTCCTGCTACTCTGGCACTGGGAAATAATTTCAATTAAAATGTTGCCAGGCTGCTGCTGTGCAACACCTTTCTTCATCGGCTCTAGGCTGGCTGCCGCCCACCAACACGGAGGAAATGCGAATGCACTGCTAAACAAATGTTGAAAGAGAAAGAAACAGAAGGGCAGCAGGGGATTTCCAACCAGAGCTAAAAACAACAACAGTGTCTTTCCACCCAGTTATGAGGGGCTAAGAGGGAAATCTGAATTTCAGCCGCCTCGGCAGCTTTCCTGCTTGTACTAATGATTCACCACCTGGATCCGGTGCTGGATGTTCCCGCATCTTGCCATGCTGTGTTTCCCTTCCACGAGGTCACAGCCTTGCACAATGCTTTCGGGAAACAGCATCTACCACAGCAGAGTCTGGATTATGCTTACTGACAACTGACTTAAATTAGCAGTTCTTCTCGTGCAAAAGTACCACTGCCTGGAGAAGAAACAGGAGCTGTGAGTAGAAGCAGAAGCGGCCATGTTGGTTACTAGAACCCCGCACCGCGCCACCGCTGCCGCTTTCCCGCCATAGATACCCACTTCACACAAACAAGTTTGTTTCTGCTAGAGACATTCGATTCCTACTAACAATTTCTATACAACGGGATAGCCATTGTAAGGGAGAGCTCCGTTAAGTCCCTGAGCCCCAAACCTTGGCAGTGCCCGTTTTCCCACTATTCCTATGGTATTTAGCAATTGACCAGAAGCTACTCACAAAACTAGGGTTAGCGGATAGAGTTTAGAGATGGTCAGACGGCAACTTGATAGAACAAGCAAAGAAAAACTGAAGGCAGAAGAGTTTGCACCATAGGAGCCTACAAAGCTTGTTCGTATTAGTAACCTCCCCCTGGCCCGTCCCGGTCTCGCATCCCACATGCATAATAGAAATTTTAACCTCTACCGCCTCGAGTTAAAAAAAACCCAGCTCAACCGCTCTAAAGCATATACAGACTGCGAAACGCAGATTCCCACACCTGCCCCAGGACCTTTGGCGCGCTACCCGATGCGCGCGCACATGCAAATTGGGGACCTGCGATATGCCAGTTCTTATTGGATGGAAGCACCCTCTTCTCCTCTGGTTGGCCAGGATAAACAATCTACTTTCCCCATTGGCTTATGTCCCCCTATAGCCACGAGCAGCCAATCAGAGGTGTCACAGCCGAGCGTTTGGGTGGATATAAAAAGCTCGCGTGCTGTTTGTGTTCAGTGGGTGGTTTCAATTGCTTTCTAGTACGGAGAAACGTTGAACAAGTGGCGTGACTATGTCTGGTCGTGGGAAGCAAGGAGGCAAGGCTCGCGCCAAGGCCAAGTCGCGCTCCTCCCGGGCCGGGCTCCAGTTCCCCGTGGGCCGCGTGCACCGCCTCCTGCGCAAAGGCAACTACGCCGAGCGAGTGGGCGCCGGCGCGCCCGTCTACCTGGCCGCCGTGCTGGAGTACCTGACGGCCGAGATCCTGGAGCTGGCCGGCAACGCCGCCCGGGACAACAAGAAGACCAGGATCATCCCGCGCCACTTGCAGCTGGCCATCCGCAACGACGAGGAGCTCAACAAGCTCTTGGGCAAGGTGACGATCGCGCAAGGCGGCGTGCTGCCCAACATCCAGGCCGTCCTCTTGCCCAAGAAGACGGAAAGCCACAAAGTCAAAGGCAAGTGAGGCTTCTGTTTCTGTGCTGGGCGGCTTTCGTCGAAGTGAACCAAAGGCTCTTTTCAGAGCCACCCACAGCTTCCAGGAAAGAGCTGACTTTCTCTTGATTGCTGCTGCGAAGAATCCTAAACTAATTTAGCACTAGAATGGCAGGTCAGTAACGGCTCAGTGAAGCGGAATAAATGGTAACTTCTGGGATCCTGCACGGATCTTGATCAGGATCAGGTTTGTTTTTTTAAATAAATGAGCTGGAATTAAGAGGGAGTAGGGTAGTGGCCAAGTTTGCTAATGACACCAAGTTGCTGAGTGTGGTTAAAACCAATTGGGATTGTGAGGAGCACCAAAAGGACCTCCAACCTGGGACAATGGGCATCAAAACTGCAAATACATTGATTTTTCTTTTGTTAAACTTTCATGGCGCTTAGACAGGAAGATAGATCTGGGGGACTGATTGTATGGGTTGGATCTGTATTGAATTCTCTTGCCAACCTTGTCTATTTTAGCTTGCTTATTTTAGTGGTTTTATTCATTATAGTTTTGTTTTATATTCTTTTGCCTATTTGTTAATCTAAAGAAAATAAAAATTAAAACCCTGCAAATGTAGTTCAATGACCACAGTGATGCACACTGAGGCAAAATAATCCAGTTCACACACATACCGAGCAGATGAGGAAGAGAATTTGGTTGTTGAGGTCAGCTTTATGAAAATGTAAGGCCAACTTGCAGCTGTTGTGAGAAAAGGAAATCCATGTTATGCATTATTATGAAAGAAATAGAAAATAAAGCTGTTAAGATTCTGCCCTGTGAACAGGGTATAATCTCCCAGCCGCCACAGGTTTTCTCAAAGTTGCTTGTAATCATGAACAAAGAAAACAATTCCAGCAGGAGGAGCCATCTGGATGTCTTCACCTTTTCCCACCAATGGGGCATGGCATGGGCCTCCTAGCAATTTGGCAGGGGGAGGAGAACACCTCTCGAGATAGCTCTCAAGTCCTTCCAAGTGGGAGGAAATAGATCAGATTACTGTTTACTGTCAGTGTATACGGTACTCTCCTGACAACTCCTCCATTGTTTGAAGGAGCTGGTTTGATGCCTATGGTCTTTGTTAAGAACATACAAATTATGATGAAATCAGCACAAGAATCATCCACCTAAGCTTTGAGTTGTATATTGGAATAAGCACCCAAGGCAGGAAGCTCAACACACCCTTGTAACTAAGCAGCAGTAGAAAACGGAGGGTCTTTGGCAAAGACCTTTGCAGGATGATAAAAATTCATCTTGCGCCAGGGAAAGGAGGAGTTGCTGACTCAGAACCGAGAAACAAATGCAATACAATTTTTATTATTGCTTTGCTGTTGGAGGCATCTCTTGCAAAGCAGCCAGTCATTTTCTAAAAAAATACAGTTGTGGATTGGAAGAGAAGGTGAAGGAGGACCCACAGGCCTGAAGTACTTGTCAGAGTTTAGACTTCGCTTTTGTCAGTGTTATTTGCCACACAATTAAAAATACAAAGTCCCATGTGCTGAAGTAGTCCAATGGGAATGAGTGGAAAGAAAAACAGACACAATATAACTCATCAAGAATGACAAAAGGTTTTTGTCTATTCTAAACATGGTTGTATGGTTGGATATTTAGGGTCTGCAGAGGCAATGAAGGTTGCATCTCCCATATTTTAACAGTGACTGACTAAAAGATATGCTGGCACATGCATGATCCACCTATGTGTGCTGCAAACCAGCCAAAATTCCCTTTTCTGGATGACTGAGAGGTGAAGCTGCTCTATCCTCATTTGCTTCTGGTCGCTATAATGTTCATCTAGCTGCTCCCATGGCTGCTGGCACACCTTGCATTCATTGGTTTCTTCTCCTTATGGCTGAGGTCTTCTGTCCTTTCTTAACTGCAGAATGTAGAAAACTGAAAGGTAGGAACTCCATTTCAGAGTGTCTTTAGGTGCACTCAGAGTTGTATTCAGAATGTTAGGCCTACTACAACAAAAAACCAAAGACTTAAAAGATCCTTGTTCAGCAAGAGGGACAAGTTTAAATCTTCACTAATGATCTTAATGGGATTTTAAAGGAAGTATTCATAGAAACATAGAAACAGAGCGAGTCAGAAGGGGTCTCCCAAGCCATCTAGTCTGACCCCTGGCTCCAGCCAGCTCTGCTCATGACATGCCCATATTCAGCTTTGGTTGGATTGTGCTCGCTATCCTTCTTAGTTTAATCTTGCTGCATTTAATGGCTAAAATTAAGGCCAATCTGGGTGAATTTCTCTAGGCAGCCTAATACCCACTGCATGACCTGGGGGCTACTATCTCTTAGCCACAGGCACTTTGCAGAATAAGCTGCAAGGATAAAATGGGCTTGGGGGATGCAAGCTCCCAGGAGGAAGCATGGGATAGTAGCAATAAATGCACAGTGGAGGCCATTCTACTTCTTCTGCAAGATGGCCTTGATGAGGAGAAAATAGAATAGTTTCTTGATCCATAGGATATGATGGGAGACAAGGGTCACTGGGCAAGTTGGACTTCAAGACAGAAGTTAACCGCAGAACAATGGAATATGGTCGGTCCTGAATATGAACTCACATGAGTTCAATTAGGGGTATCCCTTAGCAGACCTTTCCTCAGTTTGGTGCCTTCCAGATTGTTGGATATAACTTAAGCTCCCATCATCCCATTCATCAATGCTGAATGAGGTTAGTGGGGCAACCAGATGTTGGCATGTATCCCAATCCCAGAAGAACAAGAGTGCTCCAGCCAGATAGCAACAAGAACCTCACAACATTTAGACTGAGGTGGTGGTAGGATAATGGACACCTTCCTGAATGGTGCTATGAAAGACTAGAACATTTATAGCTATGTTTGCAGGTAGGGAGTAAAGTGGGACAGCGAATCAGAGCATGGGTACCTCCAAAGTATTCCTCATTGCACTTTGTCTGGCTGTGTCTGAAGAAGGCCCAGCAGCTTCTTCTGGTACACAGTAAAGCTGCAAGAGCCAAACACACCTCCACTGTTGCACGGGTTAAATATTATCAATGTTTATGTATTGATGTATGGGTTGCCCTATAGCTAAAGCCCTCAGGACAAGCCCAGTGATGATGATAATGATGAAACGGCAACATTTCCAGTCCCCATTTAAAGTCCTGATCTTAAAAGCCTTTAAAAAGCTTGGGATGATGGCATCTAAAACAGGGTGGGAGTGGGGATAGATCTCCAGATGTTTTGAATGTCAGCTCCCAGCATCCCTTACCATGCTAGGAAGGGCTTCTGGAAGCTATCTTGTGCTCACCCCAATCTAATGGATATCCTTTGCCTACGCTAAGATCGACATTGAGGGTCTTTCCTAAGTACCCCACATGAAGGTCAGGAAGTGCCTTGTAAGCAGTGGCTCCAAACCTCTTGAACTAACGTTCAATTGACCTGCAGCTACCTTGATTTTTAGATAGGTCTGGAAGACATTCCTTTTTGAACGAGTCTGCACTCACCACCTGGACTTGCTACTAGAAGGAATTATTATAATACACTTGGCTTTTACATGGCATATTCCACATCCTCAGAAAGGGTATCACATGTATTGTTGAGGACACAGTGATGACTAAAGAGATGAGACCCAAAACTGTGGGATTTATAATAGGGCTACTTTATTTAATACTCAGAAGTATCTGTAACAGCAGCAGTTTTTCCTAGCTAGTAGAAGAATGAAAGCTATTCTGGTAAGGAATAAATATGTACTGGGCTGAGCTGCATTCTGGTTAGTTCACTGCCCTGGTGTCATCCTCACTTTTGTGTGATGTGCAGCAGGAAGCAGTGCCCAATTCACTCCCCAGCCAGTAAACTAGTTTTATGAGTCAAGGATGCTTGTATTCCCTTCTCCCTGTTGGATTTCCTGGGAAGACCAAAAAAACCCTCTTTACCCAGCTGGATGTCTCCCAGCTTCTGTGTGTGGGAGAACAGAACACGCCAATGATTTCCCTGCTGTTCTCTGTTCAGTGTCCCATCTGTAGTGACCCAACTGAGTGCAGAAGAAATGTTGCTCTACTGCAATTCCCCAGTCCTATCAACCCCAGCTCACCCCAACTGCAGCTGCGGCGGTTCCAGGGAACTACTTTTGCGGGGCAGGCAGTGGCTGAGCCCACCACCTTTGGCCATGTCAGACACATGACTAGGGATGACAAGCAAAGCTTACCTCCCTGTCCACCTCCATTCCTTTCCCCTGGTCCCTGTGTGATGTTTGAGGAAGAAATGCCCATTTCAGTCATCCAAGCAGAGCTGATACTGGTTTGCACCTGCAAAAGAGCCCATACCCCAGTATAGCCCTCCTGAACCTGCCCCTTCTCTTCCCTGTTACAAACTGCTTGTTCACCTACCTCACACTCAGGCCCTGAAAATGAAGGAGAAGCAGGGTATGTTGCTGCTTCCATGCTTGCTTTCTGCCAGTCAAGCAAGCAACCAACCAAGTGGCAGCCATGATGAGGAAGAGGAGGGGGAGCAAGAGCTGCTAGTGACCATGGTTGTGCAAGAAGGGAGACTGACCAAGAGAACAAAACATGGAGGGTGCCTCGCTCAAGGGCCCTTCAAAATCTTGTTGTTAGTCGCGAAGTCGTGTCCGACCCATTGCAACCCCATGGACAACATTCCTCCAGGCCTTCCTGTCCTCCACCATCCCCCGGAGTCCACTTGAGCTCACACCAACTGCTTCAGTGACTCCATCTAGCCACCTCATTCTCTGCCGTCCCCTCCTTCTTTTGCCATCAGTTGTTCCCAGCATTAGGCTCTTCTCCAGGGAGTCCTTCCTTCTCATTAGGTGGCCAAAGTATTTGAGTTTCATCTTCAGTATCCGGCCTTCTAAAGAGCAGTCAGGGTTGATCTCCTCTAGGACTGACTGGTTTGATTGCCTTGTGGTCCAAGGGACTCGCAGGAGTCTCCTCCAGCACCACAATTCAAAGGCCTCAATTCTTCGGTGCTCAGCCTTCCTTATGGTCCAGCTTTCACAGCCATATATTGCAACTGGGAAAACCATGGCCTTGACTATACACACTTTTGTTGGCAGGGTGAAGTCTCTGCTTTTTAGTATGCTGTCTAGATTTGCCATAGCTTTCCTCCCGAGGAGCAATCGTCCTTTAATTTCTTGGCTGCAGTCCCCGTCTGCGGTGATCTTGGAGCCCAGGAAAATAAAATCTGTCACTTCCCCCATTTCTTCCCCATCTATTTGCCAGGAAGTGAGGGGACCGGATGCCATGATCTTAAGTTTTCTTAATGTTGAGTTTCAAGACAATTTTTGCTCTCTCCTCCTTCACCCGCATCAAGAGGCTCTTTAGTTCCTCTTCACTTTCTGCCATGAGAGTGGTATCATCTGCATATCTGAGGCTGTTGATATTTCTCCCAGCAATCTAAATTCCAACTGGTGATTCATCTAGCCCCGCCTTTCTCATGATGTGCTCTGCATATAAGTTAAATAGGCAGGGCAACAGTATACAGCCTTGCCAAACTCCTTTCTCAATTTTGAACCAATCAGTGGTTCCGTGTCCAGTTCTCACTGTTGTGTCTTGACCCGCATATAGGTTTCTCAAGAGACAAATAAGATGGCCTGGTACTCCCATCTCCTTAAGAACTTGCCACAATTTGTTGTGATCCATACAATCAAAGGCTTTAGCATAGTCAATGAAGCAGAAGTAGATGTTTTTCTGGGACTCCCTAGCTTTGTCCATGATCCAGCGTATGTTGGCAATTTGATCTCTAGTTCCTCTGCCTCTTCGAAATCCTGCCTTTACTCCTGGTAGTTCTTGGTCCACATACTGCTAGAACCTAGCTTGTAGGATTTTGAGCATAACTTAGCTATCTTTGCATGAAATGTTCCCTTCATATCTCCAATTTTCTTGAAGAGATCTCTGGTCCTCACTATTCTATTGTTTTCTTCTATTTCTTTGCACTGTTCATTGAAGAAGGCATTCTTATCTCTTCTAGCTATTTTCTGGAATTTTGCATTCAATTGGGTGTATCTTTCTCTTTCTCCCTTGCCTTTCCCTTCCCTTCTTTCCTCAGCTATTTGTAAAGCTGCCTCAGACAGCCATTTTGCTTTCTTGCATTTCTTTTTCTTTGGGATGGTTTTAGTTGCTACCTCTTATACAATGTTGCGAACCTCCATCCATAGTTCTTCAGGCACTCTGTCTATCAGATCTAATTCCTTAAATCTATTTGTCATCTCTACTGTATATTCATCAGGAATATAATTTAGGTCATACCTGAGCGGCCTAGTGCTTTCCCCTACTTTCTTCCATTTAAGTCTAAATTTTGCAACAAGAAGCTCATGATCTGAGCCACAGTCAGCTCCTGCTCTAGTTTTTACTGAGTGTATAGAGCTTCTCCATCTTTGGCTGCAGAGCACATAGTCAATCTGATTTCTGTGTTGACCATCTGGTGATGGCCATGTGTAGAGTTGTCTCTTGGGTTGTTGGAAAAGAGTGTTTGCTATGACCATCGTATTCTCTTGACAGAATTCTGCCAGCCTTTGCCCTGCCAGAAGCAGGAAGCCAGACTTGCCTGTTATTCCGGTTATCTTTTGGCTTCCTACTTTAGCATTCCAGTCCCCCGTGATGATAAGGACATCATTTTTGGGTGTTAATTCTAGAAGGTGCTGTTAGGCCTTCATAGAACCAGTCAACTTCAGCCTCTTCAGCACCAGTGGTTGGGGCACAGACTTGGACTACTGTGATGTTGAATGGTTTTGCCTTGAATTTGAACTGAGATCATTCTGTCATTTTGGGGATTGTATCCCAGTACTGCTTTTCCTACTCTTTTATTGACTATGAATGCTACTCCATTTCTTCGGAGGGATTCTTGCCCGCAGTAGTATACCTGATGGTCATCTGAATTAAATTCACCATTCCTGTCCATTTTAGTTCACTGATTCCTAAGATGTCGACGTTCAGTCTTGTCATCTCTTGTTTGACCACATCCAGCTTGCCTTGGTTCTTACATTCTAGCTTCCTATGAAGTATGGATCTTTGCAGCATCGGACTTTCCTTTCACCACCAGATATATCTGCAACTGAGTGTCCTTTTGGCTTTGAGCCAGTCACTTCATTCTTTCTGGCGCTACTAGTACTAGCCCTCTGCTCTTCCCCAGTAGCATATTGGACACCTTCCGACCTGAGGGGCTCATCTTCCAGCATCATATCTTTTTGCCTTTTGGTACTGTCCGTGGGGTTTTCATGGCAAAGATACTGGAGTGGGTTGCCATTTCCTTCTCCAGTGGATCACGTTTTGTCAGAGCTCTCTGCTATGACCTGTCTGTCTTGGGTGACCCTGCACAGCATAGCTCATAGCTTCATTGAGCTACGCAAGCCCCTTTGCCATGACAAGCCAGTGATCCAGAGTTCAAAAAGGATCTTAGCCAGCCCTAAATCCAAATTCAAATTCTTAGCCAGCCCTAAATCCACACCTGGAATTAAAAGGCAAAATCAAGTTACTAGCATCAGTAAAAGGACATGACAGTAAATTTATTTAATCAAACAAACGTAAGGTCATATTTAAAACCAGGCTTTCATTTCCCAACCATATTTGCTGCATACCCTCCATTGATTTAGCTCAGATTAGGGGTTCTTAGCCTTCCTTTGCTCTGTGACCCTTCTCAAAGTACTGTTAGCTGGGAAAAAAGGTACTTTACCATCTGCACTATTTATAAATCTAAGCTGCATCATATGGTTAGTTTCTAATGAATATAAAATTTCATTTATTACAGACTTCCTTTTTCATTAAAATATGTATTGTAAATTGTAGTGATTTTCAATATTTGTTCTGCTGAAAATAGCACTGAGAATGAAATAGGAAGATTATGTCAAATTGATCACATGCCTGACAATTCAGTTTGCGCCCCCCGCCCCCTCAGAAACTTACTGTGGCCTCCTAGAAATATGGCATGGCCCATGTTGAGAATGACTCAACCTCTTCTTGAGAACTGAGGGTGGTAAAGAAAACATTAAAAATCTCAAAAATATATGCATACAGATACCAGGAAGTATTATTTATTCATTTATTTAAAACATTTATATCCCATCCTTTCCGCTGAATAGCTCAGAATGGCTCACAGTGAAGTAGTCGATTAGCCTATGAAATTAATCTCTTAGGCTACGCACATACACACAAATATTCTGAGGTGAAGAACAAAAGCAAAACTTATCAAATATATTCAAGAAACTGGTATCTGCCAGGTTCCAGCATTTTATTTTCATTTGAAAACATGCCTTGTCTGCAATTATTCAGTCCCACATGACTCTCAGGTTAAAACAGGATGTCTCCAAGGGGTTGTTTTCAATTTGTTTGCATGTTCTTTGAATACACGAAATACAATATCCCTGTAGGGGGAAAGGTACTATTTCAAGCTCTCTGGAGAAGGCTTCTGCCAGCCTGACAGTAGTTCATCTTCCCCCATGCTGTCCTCCATGTTTTATACTTCAGCTCCCCTCAATCCCAATGAGCATAGTTACTGGGCACATTGGAGAAGGTGTTCATCAACCAAGCAACTCTTTTTTTAAGCTATGAGTTCTTCTAAGTGTATCCTCCATATCCAGTGGCCATGCATCTCTGTATAGCAGAGCCAAAACTATGGGGATCCCCTGCCCTTGCCCCAGCTTGCTCTGTTTGTGAACTTCCCAGTGGTAATTAACCACTTTGGAATAGTAAGTATTAGCAAGAATCTGCAGGTGCTTGGTTGGATGAAACATAGGTAGGTCTTACATGAAGAAGCCTTCTTTTTGCCCACAAGGGGGTCTGCGCTCCAAACAAAGCTAAAACACACATACATGCAGCTTTCCCCATTCTGGTGCCTTCCAAATGTGTTAACACATGTTTATCACCATACGGCATAGTCATTAGCCATGCTGACTGTGTGTCGATCATGAGAGTTATAATTCAACATACCTACAGAGTCATCACAGGCAGCCATAACAAATGTCAAGCCGTCGTATTGTATTTATATCCTTTTTTTTTACCTTTCAAGGAATTCAAGGCACATTACATAATTATTCTCCTTCTTCTCTCAATCTTATCCTCACAAGAACCCTGTGGGGTTGGATGGGCTGAGAGTCTGTGACTTGCCAGTGAGTTCCATGGCTGAGTGGGGACTAGAACCCAAATCACCTGAGTCCCAGTCCCATGCTCCTAACCACTACACACACTGGCTCTCAACTTATAAACAACATTCACATTCAGATCTGTTCATGTGGATACTCAGAAAATATCTCCATACTTTTCATGAACAGGAACTCAGAGATATGTGTGAAGCCCCTTTGAGGCTCAGATGCACCTCCCACCCACTGGAACATCATGCTCTGTCATTACCAGGAAAAAGCTGCCTGGTTGGGACACTGGCTTTCTTCACACAGCAATGTAGGTTCTCCAGATCATAATTGGACACTTGGAGGCTTTGGGTTTGAGTAGTGTCTGAGCAGGCAAACTCCAGCTAACTCAAGACCAGGCACATGAACCATGTACATTGCTTTGAGTTCTGTGATGAAAGAAAGGTAAGTTACTTATGCACACACAGCCAGTGAGAAGCTGTGGCAGATTGCACAATGTTTTAGTCTAAGTTTGCATCTCTTTCCATATGACTTAAAATGTGTGCCTGTTTGGTTTTTACATACATATTTGATAAGCTTTTTGTTTTGTTAGTGGTTTTTAATTGTGTATACTGCCCAGAAAGCCATGTGACTATTATGAGAGTCTATAAAAAAGTAAATAAAAATGAATAAAAATGCTAGTCATAATAGGCAAGCTTCTTTAATGAACAGCTGTCTTATAATAGGGCCTGCAATCTGCAATTTTGAAAGCACACGTACTTTATATTGTAAATATAAAGCACCTAATTAATGCACCCTTTAAGTTTATTAATCAATGTGAAACCCACATACATGTGTGCACACACATGCCTACCACACTCAAGAGTATGCAACTTCTAGCTCACATCTTTCAGTCTGGCAAGAACAAAGTGTAATATTAAGGCTCACTTTTTAATTCCCAATTGTCTGCTTAGCACCTGCCAATTGCAGATTAACATGGGTCCTGAACCTCACTCAACCAACAATTCAAACACACAGATTGAGTGTTTCTAGCTGTGTCACTTTAAAAGTAGATACCTGGTTAGTGACCCGGAGGAATTTCACTTTAAGAAACTTTCCTTCTGCAGTACTAAAAAGCTTGCTCATCCCATACATAGGGAAAAACTCCCCACATGCATTAGGAAAGTTATAGAGGCAAACTGTGCAAAGCAGACAGCAGCTCTTTTTTGGTTATGTGGATGGCCCTTAAAAGAGCCTTTGGGTCACTGGATACACCAATAGAGGCTTGCTTATGCCCTCTCTCCGCGGATGCGGCGCGCCAGCTGGATATCTTTGGGCATGATAGTAACTCTCTTGGCATGGATGGCGCACAGATTGGTATCTTCGAAGAGACCTACTAGGTAAGCCTCGCTTGCTTCCTGGAGGGCCATCACAGCCGAGCTCTGGAAGCGGAGATCAGTCTTGAAATCTTGGGCGATTTCTCTAACTAGGCGCTGGAAAGGAAGTTTACGAATAAGCAATTCGGTGGACTTCTGATATCGGCGAATTTCTCGCAAGGCTACGGTGCCAGGGCGGTAGCGATGGGGCTTCTTGACCCCGCCGGTTGCCGGGGCGCTCTTCCGGGCAGCTTTAGTAGCCAGCTGCTTACGGGGAGCTTTGCCGCCAGTGGATTTACGAGCTGTTTGCTTCGTACGAGCCATCGCCGCTCCACGAAACAGCAAAGAACAGCCAACCCCTCTAAGTATGAACTGAAGTGTGGAAGTTGTTTCTTCGGGTCAGACTACTTATAGCCCACTCCACCTCTCCTGATTGGTCGAGAACTCGAACGGATCAGTGTCAGAGTTTGAATTTCGCGGGCTTGGAAAGGATTGGATAAGGTCCTCAGTGTTTCTCACGCCCTCTGAGTCTTGAAGTTCTTCAAGTTTCCATCAAGATTTACTCTGAACTCACTCGTAAAGGGGCAGATTACATGATTTACTCGGAGCAGTTCTCTGAAGTTCCGCTTTGGTCAATGTTGGATAATGCAAATACAATCTCTTCCGGCTGAGCTTATCTCACAGGGTTGAAGGGCGCGCTGCCCCCTTCCCAGCTGAGAGGATACGGGGCAAGCTCAGCAAAGGAAATCCCCGCCACCTTCACTAAATGTTCGGAGATGATAGGGCGATTTCCCCTCCCAAACCCGCTCTGGGCCGGCCTCACCGAGAGAGGCAAAGTCCCTGAGAGCTTTTATATAAACCAGCTTGAGTGTGCGCGTGCAAAGTTTAGTGAGAATGGAAAATAATTGCAAAATTTCTTCCGTTTTGGTCAGGAGAGCAAAGTATGTAAAAATGCATCGCTGAATTTATAATTAAGACTCAACGAAACATCAAGTCATCTTTTAAAAGTTTTGTCTGGATTTTTTAAATATTTAACTCCGCCTTGTTACCCCATCCCTAACCCTCAACTCTGCTAACGATACTCACGAATCTGGTTATCCGGGAGATCAAGAGCAATCCCTTCCTCTTACGCAGCACAATCTCCTCAGTCGCTGGGGAACATGGGTGGGAGGGTCCTGCTGCACTCGCATCCTGTCTGTGGGATCCTGTGTGAACGGAATGCTGGACTAGATGGAACTGATTTAGTCCAGCGAGATTCCTTAGTTCTTAAGTCTGTGCCACTTGAGAGTCAATAGAACTTGCTTCCAGAATGCCCAATTACTAGGTGGTAGTCCCTGTAGACACCGAACCTCATACGTGAATCCGAGAGGCAACGATAATAGTCTCTACACGATTGCTTCAGCAAAGTGAATAAAGTAGCTTGTAAGGTGCTATGTGACAGGCTGGGAGGAAGGGCTGCTCGAAAATCCCGCGCTACGTAATGATTGGCCAAGAACCCCTCGTCATCCAGTCCCACCATGCTGACACCGTCCTTTTAGAGCCAGTAAGACCTTTGCTAAGGGGGGGGGGTAAGTATGCAAACTTGCGTGATTACACAGAAGTCTTCCTCAGATTGCAATAAGGGAGTCAACGAGACGTTTTGGAGATATTCTGCCAATTACGTACCGCCCCAATTACTTCCAAAACAGGTGTGGGCGGGCAGCAGAAAGCGCATCCTCCTAGTGGTCAACAAGCACAACCGCCCCGTACAGTCTTCATGTACATCGTGAGGTGACTTCCTAGCACACCTTGAAGAGAAGCACCTTGCAGAGAACGGTACCGGGAAACTGAGCGTAAGCACAGTTCTGCCTGAGGTACTTGGCCAGCTTCCTTGCTTGTATCATAGAGATGTGCTATCTCATCTAAGCTTTGAACCAATTTTTTTTGCCTTTCTCATTGGTTACGAACGTTTGCAAACTTTGATTCAGCTCTTTATGTGGAACTGTGGGTGGCTCTGAAAAGAGCCTTTGGTTTCAAAGTTCGAAGAGGAGCGTGTTCTTTCGACCGAATTTTTATTTTCCCTTGGCTTTGTGGCTTTCCGTCTTCTTGGGCAAGAGGACGGCCTGGATGTTGGGCAGCACGCCGCCTTGCGCGATCGTCACCTTGCCCAAGAGCTTGTTGAGCTCCTCGTCGTTGCGGATGGCCAGCTGCAAGTGGCGCGGGATGATCCTGGTCTTCTTGTTGTCCCGGGCGGCGTTGCCGGCCAGCTCCAGGATCTCGGCCGTCAGGTACTCCAGCACGGCGGCCAGGTAGACGGGCGCGCCGGCGCCCACTCGCTCGGCGTAGTTGCCTTTGCGCAGGAGGCGGTGCACGCGGCCCACGGGGAACTGGAGCCCGGCCCGGGAGGAGCGCGACTTGGCCTTGGCGCGAGCCTTGCCTCCTTGCTTCCCACGACCAGACATGATCACGCCACTGCCTTCCGCACAACACCCTCAGAACAAAATACGAGCAGGCACTGATTAGTAGGGGGCGAAGCGGGGGGCTTTTATGCCTTCCTAAGGCCTGGTAATACTATTTCTCATTGGTTGGCCGGGCGTCAGGCGCCCGTAGCCAATGAGAAAACACATTCCCCAGCCTGGCCAACCGAGCGAGCAGAAATTCTTTCTCGCCAATAGGAACAGGTACGATCACAGGCCTATGATTTGCATGTGCGCGCGCAACGGAGATGATATCAAGAGTCCTCTCAGCCAATGAGAGTCTTGCAGCTTAGGTGCCTTCATTTGCATACAGGGCCTTTAAATAGAGGAAAGCAAGCGAGAGCCTTCACTGGTTCCGCGTTCGTTGAGTTGTGAGTAATCTGTTTTCTTTTAGTGCGTGGTATCAGAAAGGTTGTGGTGTTTGTGCTTTCGGGATTGTTTGGAACGCAGAAAGTCTTCCGAGCTTTCTATAATGCCCGAGCCGGCTAAGTCTGCTCCTGCCCCCAAAAAGGGGTCAAAAAAGGCGGTGACGAAGACTCAGAAAAAGGGGGATAAGAAACGACGCAAAAGCAGGAAGGAGAGCTATTCCATCTACGTCTACAAGGTGCTAAAGCAGGTGCACCCCGACACTGGCATTTCCTCCAAGGCAATGGGAATCATGAACTCCTTTGTGAATGATATCTTTGAGCGCATCGCCGGGGAGGCTTCCCGCTTGGCACACTACAACAAGCGCTCCACCATCACTTCCCGGGAGATCCAGACTGCTGTGCGCCTCTTGCTGCCTGGGGAACTGGCCAAGCACGCCGTGTCAGAGGGCACCAAGGCTGTCACCAAGTACACCAGCTCCAAGTAAACAGCTCACGATGCTTCACCAACAACCTAACGGCTCTTTTTAGAGCCACCCAATTTCTCCTAAGAGAGCTTTAGTCATTTAATTTGCTCCATGAGTTACTCCATCGGTTTCTGTAACTTGTCACTGATACTTTGTAGTTCATGTTTCTTTGTAATAAACGCTTCTGTCACATGTCTCTTGCAATTTATCTATTGTAAGTGTGATCCTATGTGTTTGAATAGAGAAAACCTAGCATGCTCAGCTGGGTATGCTGGCAGTAAGCGTGTCTTCGTGTGCTTCTGTATGCCTTTGAAATAGCTGGTTTATTAATAGTGGTGGTTTATTTCCATTTCTATGCTGCCCCATAACCAGAAGGTTCTCTGGGCACCTTACAAATGCTAATGGTATTAGCATTTGGTATTGACTATCTAATAGCCAGACCTGTGTTTCAGACAATCCCCCAGCTCTTGAATTTCTCGACTCAAAAGATGTATGGAGAAACCTCACAGGTCTATTACTCTTTAATAGACACATCTTGTTCTCAGCTATAAGTCACATCAGTAGTAGGTGGTAGGCTAGAATATTTGCTGTCTTTGAGCATTGGACTAACAACAGCAATACCGCATCTTCTCTGGGTGTATGGGTGAGTTTGGTGGGAAAAGAATTTAATGATTTTTAAACTGATAAAGGGAAAGTGAAAGTCTTTAGAACTTCTATTAGTGGTATGCTGATACAAGAAGGGATCGTATGTGCTTTGATAATGTTATGCCTTAGAAGCTGGGTCAGGGCATAGATATAGTGTGCTGTCAAGTAACATATTTAACATGGCTCAGAAGCTGAGGTTGACATTAAAAACTGGGATAGGGTGAACTCTTCAGTTCCAGTATTGGAATTTCTGTATTGAACCCTTCTAACAACAGGCTGCCTGCTGTGACATCCAAGCAATTTTTCTAAAGTTCTCAAGGAAGCAAGTGTGTGATCCCATTTTATTAAAACAATCCTGTAAGGTGGGATTGTTTGAGGATTCTGTCTTACCAATGTCAAATAATAAACTTCAACTCCATGAATTTGAACAGATTCCTTCCTTCTCCTAAAATGACGATCTATACACTCACTTCTCTTGTCTACAAGCACAAACTCATTTATAGTGATTAGATACCTGAGCAGGTTACATAGGTTAAATAATGTAGGCCCACCATTTCCCCTCCCTGCATGTCATGTATGCTCTAAATTACTTTTAGAGTAACTATCATTGCAGTGAAAGACAGCTTTTAATGCAAGTTGAAACAAACCTGTACTGATATAAATAAACAGAAAAGGTGGGATGTAAATATACAGGCTGTGAACCTGAGCCTGACTTAACAATCTCCTGACATACGGAAGTTAATGTAAAAAACAAGAACTGATCCTGTAAGTTGAACAGGAAGCACCCACACTTCAGAACTGAGTGAGCTCCTCTTATTCCCACATTTTATGAAATTAAAGACAGAGCATCCAGTTTCTCTTGAAATGGCTTCTTAGGGTGTAATCCTTTCAAATTTTAGCTAGAGGTAAGCCCCCACTCAATTTAATAGAATTTACTTCTGCAAATGCATGTATAGCGCATCATTTTTCATAAGCTTAATTTTGTTACACAATCGAGATATCTCCATAATCCTACACATAAACCTCACTGAAGCAAAGCTCTCTGTTCCACCTTCCTAATTTCGCAATACGAACGTTGTGCAATCAAAATGGAAAAAAAGCTCTCCCTCCTACGCAGACGCAGAAATAAAGCGAAAGCGCTAAAGTTTTAGTGCTTTTTGATTGGCTAGTTTAAACGGTTCCTGCAGCTCACTGGCGCAAATTGAGAAGCGGCGTTCAATGGTAGCACAGGCACAATACTTGTTGCCTCCGCCTCCTGAATGCGGAGTTTTCCATCTGGTCGGCTTTCCGATAATATAATTTAGCTTTTTGCGGGCCCTGAGCTCATAGGTCGTGGTTTTTCTTTGGGGAGCTGTTGTGAAAATGTCTGGCCGTGGCAAAGGCGGGAAAGGTCTTGGGAAAGGGGGCGCCAAGCGTCATCGCAAGGTGCTTCGTGACAACATCCAGGGCATAACCAAGCCTGCCATCCGTCGCTTAGCTCGCCGTGGCGGAGTGAAGCGTATTTCTGGGCTGATCTATGAAGAGACTCGCGGCGTGCTGAAGGTTTTTCTGGAGAACGTCATCAGGGACGCTGTGACTTACACCGAGCACGCCAAGAGGAAGACGGTGACCGCCATGGATGTGGTGTACGCCTTGAAGCGCCAGGGCCGCACTCTCTACGGCTTTGGCGGTTAAGTATTCCTGAGTACAGCTAACAAGTTTAACGGCCCTTTTAAGGGCCACCCACTCGGACATAAAAGGCTGAATTTTCTGGTGTTTCCATGCACTTTGTACATTTATATCCCTTCTACACGACTTTGAAAAAGCTGGGACGACATAAAACTTACGTTTGTGGTCCTAATTGATGGCATTCAGAAAGTGCTTGCTATTGGTTTAGGGAGTTATCACCGTTAAAGCCTCAGTTTTCTCCTTTTTATAAAATGCATTGCTTTTTGAGTATGATTTCAAGGTAGAGACAGACTTTTGTTCATATCTCATTAAAGGATGCTTTTTGTCAATAGGTTGTAGTTAAAAGCGTTTTGATTTTCTATTTTGCCATGTATGAAATGCATTTGGTATGTATTTGTAATTGCAAAAGAATTAGGTGTGGTAATTATAGAAGAACTGCATGGATTCAGTTGGGCTCATTTTCAAAAGGGAGACTTTTCTGCTAACCATAGCTAGATTAGGTTCATGTAAATACAGTCTGAGAACACAAGGGGCCAACATATCACCTCTTATTGCAGAAAACTAAGCCATGTTTTCTAGCAGCCTTTGTATCAAGTTCTTTGTTTGCCTGCATGTGACCTCATACCTGCTGTAGCCAGTAAGAACTTCAATTTTGTGGGAGCATATTCTGTTACTTAAGAGGCTCAAGGTACATTGGGATCTGTAGTGCTGAGGTGGTATGTCAGTGGTTCCCTTCCCCAAGATGCTTGCCTTTGGAAAGGAAAGAAAGGGAAGCCTTGGGGCGATCTATACCTGAGCCCTTTCATTTCTTAGAGAGCACTGTCACAATATTCAGGCAGACTACATTTACCCTTTATAACCGTAGTTGCTGATAGAGTACAGTTTCCACTCTGTTGAAAACATGATCTTGTGCCACACAGAAATGCAATTGCAGGAGAAGCAGAAGGAGTTAGAAAGGTGATGAGTGCAGGGAAATGACCATTTGAGTCTATATGATCCTTTAGCACAGGGGTCTCAAACTCACAGCCTGTGGGCCAATTGCCGGGCCGGGTGGGGCACGGGGGAGGGGCCCTGCGGCCTTCAAAGTGCCGGCAGCGCCCGGGCTGGCCGCGGGATGAGCGGCCCACCACCACCACCGCAGTGGTGGAATACTTGATGCGGCCCAGCCTCACCCAGACTCTACTTCCAGCGGCCCCCAGGTAAGTTGAGTTTGAGACTCCTGCTTTAGCACTTTCCCAAAAGTTGAAACAATTCTCCCTCTTCCATGCTAACTTTTGCGGAGGAAACACTACCGAAGGCAGTTCAATTCATTTCTGAGTAGGCACACATTCACATCAAGCCATTTTCAGCTGGTTGTTCCTTGGAGCCCATCATACGCCAACTGTCACAGGAGGAAGCCCCATTACAGGCAATGTGGTTTACTTCTGAGTAGGCATGCATAGGGGGGTGGTAGCAGCTAGTTGTTCTTCATGCACTTGAAGTTCTGCACTGAATGGTTAACACATCTAGGCATATGCAGAGTTTCTTTTCCTTATAGAAAACATGTCTTGTAGAGATTGGTGGCTGTAGCCCTCTAAGCTGCAGCTATGTGGGTGCAAACATGGACACTCCTCAACTGCAGCAAAATGGCCCTGTTCTCTTCCATGATCTGTTCCACCAGATGGAGTGTGATGTGTTGCTGTCATCAAGCATTTGTACTGGTAATTCCCTGTGCATGCATGTCTGGCTATTTTACTCCAGGTAAGTCTATATTGCACACACACCACTAGCACCTTTTCTAGCTGTGCATTCTCCATTTTTGGTAATTCCAGCTTCTACTGTCCCTCCGCGTCTTGGCTGCAAGCGGAAGCAGATCTTCCTTATTTGTGCCTTCTGGGCAGGGAACAGCACTCATCCACCTTGCTGGCTGGCAGTGGTGTTGAGAGGTGTCACTTGTCATTTCTGCCTCCACTGCCAGGCCTTTTGCTGGTTGTAGTGGGGGGTGGTGATGGTAGTGGATGGATTCCCCTTTGTGTCCAAAGACACACAGTCCCCAGAGATGAACTCTGCAAAAAAGAGAACTGCAGCCACATGAGTCCATTTTGCAACTTGGTTGCATGGTGGCTGCTTCACATGCTAACCATTCTCAGTTCTGTGGCACTGTCCACCATATTCCCTTGAACGGAAGTAGCTGGAAGGGATAGGTGTCTAGGGACAGGACTGTGACTTTAACAAAAGTACTAGGGGAGGTTGCAGTAGCAGCAGGTAAAACATTTTCTCCAGGCTTGGAAACATTTTATGTTTGGAGTGGAAGGGTGGAAAAAAAGAGAAGCCCCTTTTAGACCATATGGAAACTAAATGAATTGCCACCATATAGTTTCAGTTTGTGGCTGGTACTTGCTGAAGCGCATATAAGGGGCTGAGTGTAGATATAGAAACAAGTGACAGGTGGCTTTCAGCTAAATTTGGGGGCCTGAGATGAATAAAGGCACCATTTTGTCATTGTGCAGCTTTTAATTTTCTGGTGTTTATTTTAAAGTTCTTCATATGCATTTTAGAATGCTACGTTCCAATCTAGCCTAATTTTCTGCCAATTTTCTTTACCTCCTGTGAATTGTACAATTGATAATTCAAGATGGCTGTTTAATCAGAAATAAAATAGGATGAAATAGATATTCAAAGGGATACTTTTTTCTTTTCATGGAGGAATGGGAATGAAGCTTCTGTTCGGGGCCTCCTTGGAGATCTACCATGGGATTGCCAGGCATTTTTTTCTGTCTGTCTTTCATTCTTTCTCTTCAGTAAGTGGCATTCAACAGTTCAGCAGGCAAAATCCCATTGCTTTATTTGCATGGTGGGAAAAGCTGCATTGGTTACATTTTAGGGTGCTGCTCATCCATTAAAGCCAGAGGATACCTGCCCACAAGACATAGGTGGCAACTAGGATTCCTGTTACATGATATAAGAAACCTTAGGAGAACAGTCCTAGGTGCAGGAATAGAGTGGTGCAAGATTGGCACACCCAAGAAACCTTGGCAGGTTTTTGTCAGCAGAGCAGAACTGAGAATAGTCTTTTTTCCCAGTACTGACAGATGGGGGAGGGGAATGGGGGGGGGAATTATGCCAGTTGCAGGGCTGGTGTAACTTTAACCAGTGCCAGGGTGGACAGGGAGATGGCTCTGCAGCTCCACAGCCCCTCCCTGCCCACCAGTGCAACCTTCTTCCCTGTGCCCCCTTATGAAGGATCCTAGTGCAGAGGTTCACATAGTGGCTGAGCGTGGGCATGGGTGGAAGAGAAAACCTCTGCTTTCAGAGGCTGGGAATCTTCTGTATCCTATGGCCTATGGGGTACACTGCTAGGGACCACAGGGTTGCTTTATCACCACCACCACCACCACCACCTTTTGTTTTATTTATATCCTGCCTTTTTTCCTCCTCGCAAGAACCCTGTGGGGTAAGTTAGTCTGAGAGTGAATGAGTGGCTCAGCTTTGTGGCTGAGAGGGAACTAGAACCTGGTCCCCCATCCAGCATTCAAGCCACTCTTCCATGCTGGCTCTCTTCTACTAAATTTACTAAATTAATAGCTTAGGGTTGCAATCATGCACATATTTAGTCAGAATGAAGTCCTATACATCCTGCTGGGAGTTGTAGATTTTTATCTGACTATAGGGTCATAGGATTGTACCCTATGCATGTCTGGTCAGATCTGCAGGATTTATTTCTGCCTAAACATGCATATGATTGCACCCTTAAGCTTTGAGTAAGACCCCCTATGATTAAAAATCTAGCAAAGCCAGTGTGGTGTGGTGCTGAGAGCATTTGACTGGGGACCTGAGAGATGCAGGTTCTAGTTCCCACCCAGCCGTGAAGCTCCCTGGGTGTCCTGGGGCCAGTCACTTGCTCTCAATCTAGGCTACCTCACATGGCGGTTGCTGTGACAATAAAATGGCAAAGAGGAAGACTCACAAGGGAAAAAGACATGGAATATAAATGTAATGTGATAATAAGAACAAATATTAAAATGCCTTTCTAAAGCTGCTGTCACCATGGATGGCTGGGGATGGAAGATGGGGGTTGTACTCAAACACACTTGGAGGACATCAGGCTGGGAAAGGCTCTGTAAAGAAAATCCATTTTTCTGGTGGTACCTTTTCAGGCATCCCAAAAGTGTTTAATGGATTCATCAAGCAGGCTGACTAAAATGTGCTGTCCTAGTTTAAGCAGCTCCCTCCCCAGTCTTCAGAGAAGCAGGCACAAGCATGTACCATCGCCAAACCTTTCTCCCGTGTCCCCTGCACAAAAGTTCAGAATGACAAGCTGAAAGGACAGGTGTACAGAATGGCACCAGACACACTGCTCACAAGCCACCCCATCTTCAGGAAAGCTGCATCATTGGTGGCTTTCCCTCTAAGGCCCAGGTCAAGAACTTAATACACCGGAGTTTATATACATGATTTTCCTTATATATATATGGATGAAGGCCATGAAATGGACCTCTTTGCTGTTTGGTAAGATTTCTGTGTGGCTGACAACCTAAAGACCTGGGGCATGTGACACCTATCCTTGTAAAGACCAACATTAACATGGTGAGCAATTCTCCATGAATTCAAAATGCTACATGCATTCCTTTTTGGAATCATATTCATTGGCTAAGAAGGGTGGTATGCTGGGCCGGCTGCCAGGGAAGTGAAACTATCAGGTGTTTGCTGAGCAGGTCTGCAGATGCCAGACAAACCTGTCATTCAAATCAAGGCATCACATGGTCTTTGCTTTCTTATGAACCCTACCCAAGACCATGTTACTAAAATGCCAGACTATTATGGAGAAGGTTCCAGTAGAGACGCTGCATTCTGAGGCTGTGTGAGAATGTACCAGGCTGACATTTGGGCTCATAAACTCCTTGTTCCTGTACATGAACAGTAGAAAATTGGAGCTCCCCTGATGATGGGAGTTGTAGTCCCACACATCTGAAGGCAGCTAGGTTGGGAAGGCTTTCCTAAGTACATGTTGACAGAACACTACAGCTGCTATGAGGGACAGCTGGTGGGAAGGGAAAAGGGTGCAGAGGAACCAGAGTAAGGAGGTTGGAAGGAAATGAGGAACCACGGAGCTGCTGGACTGGAACAGGCTGATTCATTTAGCCATATCAGCTTCCTTCTTATTTCCTTCAGATTTCCTGCAGAGTTTTGACCTCAAATTTGTCTCAGACTTCACCAGGGGCAAAACTTGGCAATAACTATTTAACCATTGTTAAATTGGAAGAAATTAAGATATTGTACAGCTCATAAAAGCTCAACTGGGACAAAGATGAGTCCACAATCAGGCAGTATTTACCCAATTTCAAATAACCTATTCATGATCAAATAGCTTGTCTGAAGCTGAGGAATGAGAGAGAAATCCCTGTAGTGTGCAAAATAGGGCTTATGCTTCTCACCCCCTGTGAGTTCCACAAGTCCCAAAGGCCACTTGGAGTACATGAATTTCCTGTAACTATTGCCAGAGGGTAGCCATGTTAGTCTATTGCAGCAAGAAGAATGGAGAATGTAATGGCACCCATGAAAACGTATGCCAAAATAAATTCATTACCCTTTAAGGTGCCATTACACTTCTGGGTGTGCTTGGATCTCTTGCAGCTGAGATGCATGAGTCCCACATCACATGTTAGTTCAAGACATTTGCTCTCTGTTGCATAGGATGGAACTTCTACAGTCCATCTCATTTCTCACCATTCTACCTAAAGAGTCTGAGAACAAGAGTCTGAAACACCAGAATGGAAGTGTTCATTTCCTTCCCTCTGCTTTTGTGGTACAACCCTCTCTCCATGCATGTTCTAGACTGCAGGTGGCATGAAGGCTGTTATCTCCAAGGATGCTAGCCCTGCAGTTTGCATTCCAAAGAGCTTAGTGCTTCTGCCTTGCAGCAACCCCCTCCCCATCCCTCCTCCTCATCCGCCAAATCACAGGAACCTAGGAACATTAAAATTAGGGCAGATGGAACTGTGGAAAAGCATCTCAGATACTTCTAATTGAACTTGGCTGTCCCACAGCAGCAAGGCAGGACAGTGAGCCAGCATGGCCATCAGCCCCCCATCCCCTCATCATCTTAGGATGGAGTGACACGGCGTTGACAGCAGCTGCAGGTGATACATTTGAGGAAGCTCATGCTGAGGTGGAAAAGGCCAGTGAATCGGAAAAGCAGGTTGTAATACGTACTGACGGACAGTCCCCCCGAGGTGTCAGCGTACTTTAGGGCCACCAGCGGGGTGTAGAGTGTGTTTGTTTGTGTCCGGAATGGTGGGCACTCCTTAGCGATCACGTTCACCACGGCCTGGAAAAGGTAAGACGGAAGGAGGTCAGTGCTCTGAGCTGGCTGCTGCTTGTTCACAACTGGTTGCAGAAGAACATTTGTACTTACTTTCAGGGACTCAATTCTTAACATGCAAGAAAGTCATATGCCCCAGCTGAGGGTTCATGCAGGTGTGTGTTTTCAAAAGCTTTCTGGCTGGTGTCTTTCCTTTGAGCATCCTGAGGCCAAAGCGCAATAACTACCTACTTCAAGATTTGAGGTGGCCACCAGCTTAGACGGCTTCCACAGAGGATGGGGCAAATTTGCAGAGGATGATGCTATCAATGGCGATAGTCCTGATGATTATATGTTTATCACTGGTATTGGAATAGTTACGGGGGGGCTGAGCAGGAATGCTGTTGCATTCCTATCCTGCTTTTGGGTTTCCGGTAGGCAGCCATTCTGAGAACAGGATGCAGGACTAGATTGGCATATGGTCTGAATTGGCATGCCTCCTGTTCTGTTCCTGTGGCAGAGCTTGTACTTGGCATGCAGAGGATCCCAGGTCCAGTCTGCACCATTTCCATTGAAAAGGATCTCAGGGAAGAGGACTGGGAAAGGTTGCCTTTGCCTGAGACCTTGGAGAGCTGCTCCCAGTCAGAACAGAGAAGAGCAGTGGGCAAGGGGCATCAGTGGCTCTCTGTGACTTTAAGCAGTGGAGTCTGGTAACTTCAATATCAGAGGTGTTGAGTTCTACCCCTTGCCTTCCCCCTAAAGGGTTCAGCACCACAGACAGCTCCTTGGCTGTTCAGACTGCTGCACAGAGTGGGTACACTGCCCCACTGACATTGACACTATACCAGACACACATACCACGAGGCCCATTTCTTGCCTTTCATTAAAACTTCAGGAGATGTTTCCATTTATTTTTTAATCAATGATGTTTCTTAGTCCTCTTGTTTGATACTGGGGAGAATCTGAAAATACATCAGCAGTTGCTGCTACATATTGGAAGGGATACAGGAATGGGGTTTCTGGTACTTGGATTCCCCAAACCAGTCCAAAGAGGCCAGAGTGTGCTTAGTGAGCATGGAATACTGACTGTGGGGCAGAGGGGGATTTGAAAAACTGTGTGGGGTGGAAGGTCATATCCTAAAGAGAGCATGCTGGCTGGCACCTTGGGCAGGAGCACTCCACACTGACATTTTGTTCATGTCCGACATCTAGTTGATTTGATGTTCTTTCCTTTTAGCACAGCATTCTAGAATTCCAGTTAATCATCTTGGAATTGAGGCAGCAGTGTCAGGATATAACACTCTCTGTCTCTCAGGCCAAGATGGATCCCACACCCTGCCTGGATGGAAAGGCATCAACTATCCACTTAATGCTATCAAGGCAAGTTGCCCAGTGGCTGAATACCAAGGAGCATCAAGTCAAGGGCTTGGTTGCAGGGACCTCTAAAGAGGCTTGTACTGGGCAGTTGGGGCAGGCAGATTAATGAGGGAGGAAACTGCTGCTGTCACCAGGAAACATTGCAAGAGCCCAGCTTGTGCTTTGCCTGCTGATCAGTCCTGTGCTGTAAAGTTGTCAGGGAGCAGCCGCAGAAGAGCATTTCCCACAAAGGCCCCCTTGCATTGCAAGTGCCACTGCCCCTACCTTAGCCACAGACTCCGGGGTCTGGCCCATGGTGGTGAATATCTTGTGCGAGGCTGGTAGGTAGATCTCCTTGAAGTAGCGCACCGTAGCAGTGTCTGCCCCAGGGAATTCCGAGCGTGCCACTTCTTCCATCAATTTCATTTCAAATTCAGTGTTCACTGGACCGGGCTCAATTAGAGAGATACTATGGTGGGTGAGACAAAGAAATAGTCAGCATTTGGGTTTGGGGGAATTGCATTAGATCCCCAAATCCTAAAAGAATTGGCTATGGCAGTATTTTCTCAGATGGTTGGGCAACTCCTCCTTCCTCACTGAGTAAAACTTGGAGGTATCCCTTCCTTGCACAGTGCCAAAAGGTTTTACTTTTAAAATGTTTAAAGATAAGGCTATTTGGCCTTGGAGAATCCTGTCCTCTGTGGTTCTGCTTAAGGCACTGCTCTGAGTGACCTTTGCAGTGCCAAGAATCCTTGTACTTGCATCTTTCTGCATAATGTAGCTAATCTGGGTAATTTAATTGTAGCTCAGTGAGAAATGTGGCAGGGCTACCTGACTCCTCCCTGCAGTGGCTGCTTGGAGGAAAGCAAGGCCAGTGCTCAGAGCTCTGCGGAGGAACAGTGGCCAGGCTTCTTGGTGCAGAGACACCTGTAGGCTTCAAGGAGACTTGCACTCTTTCATTGCTTAAAGCTTTGATAGTAGCTCATGAGTATGGCCACAATGTAGTTTGGGAATGATGGGACTCAGGCAACAGGCTTCTTGGTCCAGCACTTTATGGACCCAATCTGGCCCTGAGACAGGCTCAAGAGCTCCCTCTAAAGGCAACAGAATTTGTTCATTTTTCACAAGACTGCACCACTGTCAAGGGCTTTTCTCAGGAAGGAGGGGTGAGCAGAGGTGACAAGGTGATGCCCTGTTTAGAGAAGTCTAGAGACTGGTGTTGTGAGTAGGAGGAGACCCTGCAGAGGTGATGTTGAATTCATTGGCTTGCACCCAGGCACTGCAGGGCTTGCCTTAGCAACTCGGTGAACACCAAGGCTTCTGGTTAGAAAAGGGAGCTACAGGCCATCCTGCTTTCATGAAGCCCCAGGGCCCTTCTGGTTTGAGAAGTCACATGTTGCTGGAGGGAAAATTGAGTGCTACAAATACTTGCAGACCTGAAGATTTTCCTTATATCGTTGCTTAGGGAGACTGCCTGGTCCTCACCCCACACTTCTGAACTCATGGCTTCTTATAGATTATTATAGATACCCTTCGATGTGTTTATATTATTTAAGATTAAGGACTCAGCTAATGGGACTTAACTTTCCCACTCAGAACTGTTGTTTGTTCCACATCAGGCCTCCAGGGGGCATCTGTCCTGACTGTATATATCAGTGCAACACACAGCAAGCAGGCAACATGCCTGCCTAAGGAAGACATGCTCTGATCAGAAGGGATCAGTGGGACATGCACATAACAGTGGCAATACAGATGGAGTGGCAGGATGTTTTATCCAAACCATGAAAGCTGCTGGGAGAACTGCAGAAGAGCTGCCAGGCTCCTGCTTTGTTCTACTTCCTGTTGGCATATAGGAAGGCTGTGTATGCATCAGGGATCAGACACCTCCCAGCTTGCTCTTGGGATGCAGTCTCAAACTCAGATTGGACCTGTTAAGACCCTCCTGCCCTACAATCTGTAGGGATGTTCTCCATAAGCAGACATGTTTCTTCAATGTCTGCTTTGTCCTGTGCTGATGTACACAATGCCATAGAAGTTTGACACAGAACAAATGTACCAATGTAACATAGAAATACTTAATTTTGGCTGGATTGTGCCATACATTTCTATAAAGTGTTGCCTCCTCTCCCCCAACAAAGGCGTATTATTTATTTATTACAAGCATTTATATCCCGTCCTTCCGCCAAGCTCTCAAGACGGCTTACACAATATAAAATTACAATGTAAAACCTCAGTTATTAAAACAATATAAAACAACACATCATGAACTTGGAAAAGAAGTTCTAGCCAGACTGAGTTAGGACACGAAATGATAATATAAATGATACGCTATTTACAAAAAGCAAAACAAATAAGGTTGCAATAGCTCCTAACCTTTAACCACCAGCATGCTTAATCCAGAACCTGTAATTCATCAGATTAACCATACCAGCACTTTTAATCTAATGTGGCTTTCCCAGCGCTCTGGGCCTTGGATCTGGGAGATGAAAGGAACATAGCAACCCTAATGCTAATGAAAAACACAAACTTTTTTCTTTAATTTATTGATGGATTTTGGCTTCTTCCAGTACCATAAAATCTTAGGCTTTATATTTAGAAACTGTAGCTGCATCCTGTTTAAAAAACAGGGAACTTTTTTTGGTGTGTTATTTATGCTAATAGTGTGAACCATTCAAAAATGTGTGTAGATCAAACCTGGCAGCCTGGCTTATGCTTTTCAGTTCTATACCTTTAAAATGTTGCTTTAGTTGGTTGTTATTGGCTACCTTGGACTATAGTTATTTTAAGAAGGGCAGGTAGAACTCTTTTAAGTCAATAAATGACATTTTTATTTAAGCAGTATTTTAAATGTTAATATTATTGAATTTTATTTGGCCAGGGCGGCTTGTTTTATAGTGTATGTTTTATATTATATATTTGTATTTTATTGTATATATGTTAAAATGTTATTTTAATTTTTGTTGTAAGCCGCCCCGAGGCTTCGGCGAATGGGGCGGCATAAAAATGTTTTAATAAATAAATAAATAAATAAATAAATAAATAAGGGTGTGATGTTGTGGTGGGGGAGAAACAGGATTATTCAGAGCTGGGACACTGAAGGCTGAACCCTTTCTTCTCCCCACAACAGCTAGTATGGAAAGCTGTCCCAAATGGGCTTCGGAGAAGACAAAAAGGGGCTTGCCAAGGGGTGAGGAAAGTAAGAGGCTTACAGTATCACCTTATGTCAGTTCATGGCAGTGCCCCTCTCTCCCTCCTTCCCTCCCCCTCTCCAAATGTTTCATCTAGACAGTCAAGAATGACTGTCAGCTTCAAATACATGGCATGAGGCATGGTCATGTGGAACATCACTCACATGCCATTGAAAGCATGCAAGCCTCCATGTTTGGAGGTTTACACACATTGAGGGCAGGCGGTATTAGACTGTACCCTAAATATGCAATCCTATACATCAGGATCCCTGTATCTGCTGTCTCAGTTACTGTGGTTTCAATTAACCAAGGCTGACCATTGACCCTCTACATCTATCCGCCCCCCCATGAAAATGGAAAAAGGTGTGAATATCTCTAGGGAACAACTGCAAATATCTCTAGGGAACTATGCACTCTGTTTGGGGATGCCACACTCTTTGCCCCAGTACCAGCCAGCCTCAATCATATGTTTTGTCTCTCAGAGGATGTGAAGACTCTAGAGATTTTTGCTTTTTTCCCTAAAGATATTTGTGTTTTTTCCATTTTTGCAGGGGTCTTGTGCCCCCAACCCTCATGAATGTAATGTTCACTACTATCCTTGATTTCAGGCATCTGCTGGGTGGCATGGGAACTTTTCCCTGTGGATATGGAGATTTCCATGTTCATGTTTGGACAGAAAAAACTCCTATAACTCCCAGAGTTCCTTAGCTAGCCATACTCACTGGGGAATCCTGGAGTTATAGGGGTCTTTTGTCTACACTTGCATTACATTGCACCCTAAAGCAACGTTCCTGAACCCCACACGCTTCAGATCTGTGGGAGTACAACTATCATTCCAGCTAGCATGCTCACTGGGGATAATTGGCACTGTAGTCTAATGCATCTAAAAGGTGCCAGATTGAGAAAGAAACCTGAGAGCTTAGGAGAGGTAGGGTAAGATGTGTTCTCAAGCAGCTCTTTGCCACTCCCTGCCTCCACAGCATCTGCTGGCCAGGGTGGCCACCTCATTCTGTCTAATGGCCTGGCTGACACTGTCTTCAGGTCTAGCTCCATTTCACTTCCTGACTCTTAAACTCACAAGATATTGAATTTGAGGAGCTGCACAGCTAGGCTTTCACAGAAACCTTCCATGGCAAACTTGGAGGCAGCATAGACATCATTGAAGGGGACACCTGTGTGGAATGAAGAAGGGAAATGAGGTGAGGAGTTATTGCAATCTGCTCCATAGCTTGATATTCTTGGCTAAACAGAGTTGAATGGCTACAAGTTTTGGTGGCCTTTGGTCTAATGTCCTCAGTGGGATGCATCTTCCTTATTGCTTTGGCTGCTGCCCAAGTGCTTGCCCTTTCCTTCTGGCCCAAAACAAGGTTGCTTAGGGTTGCTTCTCCTTCTCTTTATCACTGTTCATCCACTTGGGTGGGACGGGGGACTGCTAGCCAGTGGCAGGAGGCAGGAATGGCTGGGGGCTCCAGCAGTTCTCAGAGGGAGCTTTTTAGGGGGGAGGGGGGAGCCCTGGCAGATTCCCAACCATGTCAGTTCCTGAGGGAAGGAAAGTCAGCATGGATTTGGGTGCCCAAATAGAACTCTGAAAAAATAAAGGAGTGGCCCGAAGCTTGAGGACTGTGGAACACAGACATTTTGCAATGAGAAGCAAACACCAAGGTCAAATAAAGGCAGGACTAATATTATCTTAGTGGCTTATGGTAAATTCCCAAACTGGAGATTAGAGTTTAAAAAGTTAATGAGTTTAAAAAAACCAAACGATCACTATCTGCTCTTTGATGTTGAATGGCTGGTTGTCACTAAGTGTACATGAATTCTGTGAAAGCAACCACAAAATTCCCCCTAAATAATACAATTTCATTGCATCATTTCAGTTAGAAACAAATTATAAATTAGAGTGGGATACTCCAAAACCAAGCTGACCTCTTAAATTGGACAGCCCCAGTTTATATATATTGCATCTTTTCTTGGAGTTTCAGATTGATCGCCAACTGACAGACTTGAATGTCCTACAGGGCTTCTCAGCCAGGGCCACTTGTCCACAAGGACAATTCCCAGTTTGAAAGGCTGTCCTGTCTAATCTCATTTAAAGATTGAGAACCATGGGAATAGTTGTCCATCCATAGTGAGCACCTGGGCAGCAGACCTAACAGAGAAACACACGGCTCACCTTGTCACAGCTGCCCATGCTACTGCAAGATGTACTGTCTTCCTATTCAGCTTAAAATAGCAATGTCTAAAGTTGCATTGTCATATGCAAAGTTTATGCAAATCAGTTTCTCCTTTGATCCTTTTTTTACAGGATTTTTTTTTAGTGATTCATAAATAGTCACTCTAGCTAGGCCCAGCAGTCTCTACAGGTGAAGGGTTTTGCAGATGTTTCTCTTTGGATAGAGGAGTCTCTAATTCCTCTTCAACCCTGCCTGCCCCATGAATGCCAGTCATACCTTGTAATCCCATGACACTGCTGATGACCACAATGTGCCCTTTCTGACGCTGCTTCATCCCTGGGAGAACAGCTTTGATCATGCGGACAGCACCGAAAAAGTTGGTCTCGAAGATACGCTTCATGTCATCAATGGAAATGGACTCCACAGGGCCAACGAGCCCCACACCAGCATTGTTCACTGGGAAACATGCATTCCAGAGTAAAACCCCTCATTCTCTATTAAACTTCCCCATCTCCACCACATCACAGCTTCCAACACAGCCAGTGCATGCTCCCCACACATCCAGGAGTGGGGAGCCCCACATTTTATTTCTCCTCACTCTCTGAAGGCTGCTCCAAGAGGCAGAGCAGAAAATCATGCATCCTTCATCACCCAAGCCAAAACTCCCCACAAGCACCTATAAGTTAAAATATCCCATAAAGCCCTCTTCTCCTCCCCAGCAGTAAAATAAGCAGAAATAAAATCATCAGCAATTTGCTGCCGTATTATGATACCCCAAATCTACGGCCCAAGGCTGCCACACTTCATTCTGCCCAGTGGAGGGACCGGTCCTGCCTCCTGTGGTTTTGTGTATCTCCATCTATGCTCCCCGTAACTAGGAGCTCTTTCTTCTTTATATCCTTGACTGCCTGCTGCCATTTTTGCCCTTCCAGGATAGGGCTATGTGTCCCTGAAGTGGCCTTTTTGTTAGATTCAAGGAAAGGAGCTTATCTGAGCCTGGGCGGTTTCTTTCCTTGCTCTGCCACTGAGCCATGGCCTGTCTCATGCGGAAGCATTGTGGTTGCCAGGCAACTGCAACCACCTCAGCATAGTTGTGCCTAGCAACCAGTGCTCTTCCCCCAGGTGACCACAGGGCCAGGCCTTGTGAATGGGAAAAGATGCCTGGGAAGATGGAGGCCTGTGGCAACCCCTGATGGAGATCCCTTCTTAAACATGGGGGAATTTGCTTCTGGTAGGGACCTCTCTCAGCTGAGTCCTTTGCATTGTTTTTCCTTCCCAGAAAGTAGTTTCCATGCTTCTAGAACTATGCTCATGTTAAAAAAATGGAGAAAGGGTGAGCATTCTGAATCAAAACCAAATGCTTGACTGGGAAGCTGTAGGGTTCTTTGGGGTCCTGGCTTGGATGGCTGAGCTCTACCCTACTCCTCTCACAGCCCACACCCTGCTGCTCTTTTCTGTAGTGCTGCCCACCTTATCCCTGCTCCTGCCCCAAAGAAAATCTTTGGAGCAGGAGGTGGGCGTAGCAGGGATACCTCTGGCAGCTGCCAGTGGTGCTGTCTGGTTAGCTGCTTGGCAAGAGGGGCAATGGGCTGCTTTCGCCAAACAGCTCCCTGGTTCTGGCCTTGGCACCACAATAAACAATAAATCTGGGTTTGGATGAAGCAACAAACCACTGTGGTAGCAATAAACTGCACAACAGACCATTGTTTCAGTTTGTGGTCTCTAAAGACCAAGGGTACTGCACTGAAATACTATGACAGGGTTCAGATGACACAACAGACCCAACATGGGTAAAAATGGACCGTGCCTTGTTGTGTTGCACAAACCTGCCCATAGTCTGCTGTCAGAGGTATGGACAACCTGCTCTGTGGCCATAATATAACATCATCCTGTACCCACCATTGATACCTACCCAACACATCCAGCTGTTTTTCAGGAAGGCTGTTCATGCACTCAGTCACAGATTCATCACTGCAGACATCGAGGCGTTGGATGCTGAGGGTCTTGTTGAGTGTGTTCCCTGCAGCTGCCTCCAACTTGTCCTTCTTGCGCAGGTCGCGCATGGTGGCGATGACTGGAAGAGAGAAAGAGCACATGTTCCTAGCCATGCTTTCTGTGATAGTGAGGAGCATACAGGTAGATGGATGGGTGGAGCATTTTGATGGGGGAAAACGGAAGTTAATGAAAATATAGCAAAGCGTATGCACAACTCACCCCATAATGTTTTCAGATTTAAAGAACTGAACGTTAAACCAAATTCATGTGCTAAAATATGAAAGTGCCAAGTATTTGCCACTCATTTTAGTGCCCTAGGACTCATTGACTAGAGCACTGGAAACCTGGAATAGATTTGTGCCTTACTGAACAGACAGACAGAATATAGCTTGTGTCATTTTTATTAGATCTCTGTAAGAAACATTGCTGAGTTTAATGAAAACCAAACCCATAGGGAAGGGGATGTATGTTTCTATGACGATTTTGATCATACCTTTGTACCCCACCCAGATATCTAGCAGGATGAAACTTGGCTAATAATAATAATAATAATAATAATAATAATAATAATATCTGAGTGAGTCAGAGCCCTCAATGCTTCCCTAGGGAGCTGAAGTTCAGAAAGGGGAAGAGTTTAAAATGAAAAGAGCAGGGTGCTACTGTTGGGCACCCCTGTAGCCAAAGGCCCAGATGGTCCAGCTCAGAGGCAGCAAACTGGCTCTTTGCCAAAGGTTGGGAGGGCAATTGAGGATTCACGCTTTGTAAGCTGCTTTGAGGTCATGATGTTAAATCCCTCTGGAGCTAATCTCCTCTGTGGGGTTCGGGGTGGGAGATATGGAAGCCCAGCTCTCTCTCTGCTAGTTAGAGTAGGGAATCATTGTCTAAGGAGAAGCATAGACTAACCAGGTATAAGAATTTTCCTTTTTTATATTGCAGATCAGTAAGGTGGGACCTCTGAGGCTGAGAGATAATTGCTTGTCTAATGCTTCCTACTCAGTTCAGCTGGAACTGAGAGTTATTTTTATGACCCAGTTCACAACTTTCTTGAAAGAGTTCTTTGTGCCCTTTTTGAAACACGCCATAAATGGCAAAATGTGTCTTCTAATTTGGTTTCAAACAATATCCTGCAGAAGCATATGGTTCTCAAATTGCACTTTAAAAAACCAAGTTACCAGAGCTGCTGGTTACAGAGAAACAGCTTTAAACCTTGCCACAGGTGATCTCTGTGTGGCATATGAACTCTACTTTTGCCCACCTTCCCATTCTTTGTTCATGGATGCCATTATCTTATTCAAAAGTCTATCCCATACATCCTACCATTCTTGCAACAGCTAAGAGGAGGAAAACCTGACCATCCTTCACTCACAGAATTTAATACAACAGGGTGGATTATCTGGTAAAAGTCCAAATGGAGAAGGGGATTAGCACATAATTCCAGGTTCCTTTGGTAACAGTATTTGTGATTGTCTACAACATGAGTATTTAATAAGGCTTCTCAGCTTTACGTGTAACAGCTGTATAGAACAGCTTTATGTGAAGCTTAAAGTTGTTTGTTATATATGCAGTTTGCATGTGCAGCATGAAGACTTGGTGCAACTCTATTACAAATCCTGTGTGATACAGGCTAACTTTATTAGGCCAGCCTAACAGTCCCAACATTGTATGCAAATCTTTGAGTTTCCCAGTTGATATATAAAGCAAAAAGCATGGGGTGGGGAGAACTCCTGAGGCTGATGATATAACAATGGAGTCTGCATTTAATCACATTCTTGGAGTGTTTCAAGACAGAGGGTTCCTAATTTTTCTATCCCAACTTTTCTATCATTTCTTTCCTAATGGCTTTTTTGTGGTAAAGAAAAGGAAGCAGAAGTGAGAAAACATGGTAGGGTTACAAGGAGAAGACATCATCATCTGGACTCCTTCTATTGGTAAAAAATTGTCCTTGCTTGGAGCACCTGAAGATGGAAGGTGGGAAGGAGCTGCAGATACTCATTAACTACTATGAGGTGCTGTGTTCTCACTGGAAAAGACCATTATGCCAGGAAAAGTTGAAAGCAGAAGGGGAGAAGGAAGACCAGCTATGAGATGGCTCAATTCCATCAAGGAAGCCACAGTCTTGTGTTTACAAGAGCTGAGCAGGGCTGTCAAGGACAGGACATTTTGGTGGCATTCATTCATAGGGTAGCCATAAGTTGGAGATTACTTCACTACCTGTAACAATGACAGGTGTTGTGATGGAGGTTGCAGCTAGGACTCTTCCTAGGGCTGCTGGGATGAACAAAGAAACCATGGTTGCTCCCTCAGTTTTGACATGATACATTTCAGCTGTTATCCAAGTCTGCCCCCATCTTTTGCCAAAGCACACAGGTTCCTTTGTAGATGGAAAACAGAAGTAGAGAGAAACCAGCCACTTATGAAAACAAAGCTGGAGATTTTCAGGTAATGTACACTGCAGGAAGCAAGGCAATAGAAATTACAATTGGGTAGCTTTACTTCATAGTTAGAGGGTAAGTATCCTCAGAAAGTAAAGTCTCAGTTTCAGGGGTATACATTCCTTTGATACATGGTACTGCAGCATTACAGCTAAATGGCTAACCTTGCTTTTTATATATAAATACCACCTCCTGTTATATGCATTCTGTGTATGGCCTTAATAAAGGCAGCTTACAAAAAATCAGAGGATAGGTCTGTCAATGGTTAAGTGGATCCTCCATGTATAGAAGCAGTGTATCTGTAAATGCCAGTTGCTCGGGGTAGACTGCAGAGGACTGGCCATCACCACCTTTATCCCCAGCCTGCCTTTTGGGAGCTTCACTCTGCAAAGGATATGACTGGACTGGATAAACTTTGGGTTGGCTCAAACAAAGCTTTTACATTCTGCCATTAGCACATGTCAGACACATAAACAAATATGGTACTGTTTGTACCATGTCTACACTGCCAAGTATTTAAAAAACACTAAGTAGTTTCTATATAAATATTAAAGCCACAATTAAAATCACATTTCAAATACAATTTTAAAAATCAGTTAAAATAATAATCACAGAGGGCAGAATAGGAGCAGTTAAACAGGACAGTTCTGTAAGTGCAATCATGTGCCTAGTTGAGCTGGTGTGCTTTCAGGAGGCATTTGAGAAAAGCCACATTTTCTGCCTTTTCAACTGCATGAGGGAGTTTTTCGACAGGGTGGGTGCCATGACCGAGAAAGCCCTCTGTTAAGGCATTTTATAGCAACATTGCGGTAATTTGGGGCTGAACAGCAAAGCTTTTGAAAACACACTGAATGCTTGTTTGGGTGTGTGTACACACACACACACACACACACACACATATATGAGAAGGAAGTCTGCTGGATATCCTGGTCCTAAGCTCTTCAGGATTTCGTATGACAATAACAAGCATGGCTCAGTAGCTAACAGGCAGCCAGTGCAATTCTAGCAGTGCAGTCTTATGTGGGCAGGTCTGCATTCTGCACCAGCTGCAGCTTCTGAGCCTGGCCCAAAGGAAGGTAGCCCCACATAGAGCACAGTACCAGTGCACGGATCACTGTAGCGAGACTGACCAGCTGGCATACCAACCGATGCTGGTTATGGGTGCTCCTAGAATGGATGAACACTCTGGGCATGAATGGAGGGGCCACGCTTGCCTTCATTGTGTCTGCAAGCTTTGTGCATGTTTGCTATCAATGTGTTTGGCTGCCTGCAGAGTCTCTGGTGTATCAGCCTGGGAAGCATTATCTAGTCCATCTGAGTTCCACTCTTATCTCTGATGCCCTTTGGACTCAAGGGCCTCCCTGATCCAGTTACTCAACCCCAGGCACTGTGAGCAGCGTAAGGCTTCTTGCCTGGACTCTGCCTCCACTGAGAGTAAAGTAGGTGGATGGGAAGGAGGCTGGAGGGAGGGGAGGCCAAAGCTGGGCTTTGGTAACATTCTTACCATGTTTGATGCCCCCCGCCCCCATCGTCTGTAACTGATTACACAAGTGCCCTTGCCACAGTGACTGAATCCACACCCAGGGAGGGTGCAAGGAGGACAGGGTAAGATCTGAAGCTGCGTTTGTGGGTGGGAGGTGGAATGCAGGCAGGGTGTTCAGGAGGGGAAGTGCAGCTGTTGAGCAGGGGGTGGGAAGGGAACTAGAAAGCAGGCAGAGAGTGCATAGAAGCTGCAAAGCACTTGGGGAAGCTCTGGGCAAAGCGGGTGCCAGGCAGGGTGGTCAATGAAGGCAAGAGAGTTCACTGGGCACAGAGATGCCAGGGTGAACTGGAAGTGCCAGGCTGACATGTAGCACTGAGAAAAATACCAGGCTAAAGGGTGCATACTTCTTTTTGTCAAACTTCTGCAGTTGAAATTATCATCTTGCCTTCCTGCAAGTTCTGGGGCTGAGCATTAGGAGATGCAAGGCATTGCCAAAGCAGAACTTCTAGGCACCCCCAGGTCCCTTTAGTTACATGGTTTTTCTCCTTTGTGAGGCGCCACCCCAGAGTTGCAGAAAGAGAGAGAGAAGAGGGGCTCAGTCAGCCCTGTAGCTAGCATGCCCTGACCAGCCCACCCCACCCCACTTCTGGGTCCCCCAGTCTCACCATGAAATCGCTTGCTTGGATCCTGGGCCAGTTGCACAGCCATGCGCAGCCCGATGCCCGAGGAGCAGCCAGTGATCAGCACGGTGCGCGGAGCTGTCTTGGCCATGGCTGAGCTTCAGTGCCTGGTGCCTGAAGGGATCAGGTTGAGAGTGCGACAAGAGCTGTCCAGACCCTGGGATCAGCTGGAGGCTTGAGCTGGTGACAGGGCTGAGGTGGGCGGGGGCAGCTTGGAGCAACTTCAAGGCAGATGGCCACCCTTCCAAACTGGCTACTGCAATCCCCGGAGCTTCTTCGCTGCTCCCCCCCCCCACCCCCCACACCAGCTGTGTCTGTGCACTCCATGCCCTGCATTCTCCCTGTTATGTGTACTGCTGGGCTTCAATGCACCCAATCTGGCCTGGCTGGTTAGTATTGGCCAAACCCTGAATGCTTAAAAAATGAGAACTAGAAACCCTATAAATAAATGTGTGTGCATGAGCATGCCTGCTCACAGGATAACATAATGTGGATTTTTAAACAAGTCTTGAACTACCCTTTTAAAAACCACAATCAAACGCTAAAGCCTAGCACAGTAGTTAAAACGTTTTATGAATGAGGAAACGTCCAATCAGATTTTGCTTCCACCAAGAAAACTGTGGCATTGGGCAAGCAGTTATCTTGCAGGCTCATCCATTCATTTGCAGTACCAGGCAATGATGCTGTTCTAAGTTGTTGTAAGGACTGCTGATATGTGTGTGAAGCCATGAAAACATACAAAAAGCACCAAATGAATGGCAGTCATGACTATTCATTGTTTTCTTTCTTTATTAGATTTATATCCTGCTTTTTTCTTACAAAGAACTCGAAGGGGCTTATATGTACCATACTCCTCCTCCTGTTCTCCATCTTATCCCCACAACAACAACCCTGTGAGGTAGGTTGGGCTGATTGTCTGTGACTGGCCCAAAGCCACTCCATTGACTCCATGGCTGAATGGGGTCTGGAACCCAGATCGCATGAGCCCCAGTCCACACTCTTAAGCAATACATCACACAGAGAAGTTTTCAAAACATGTTTATAGAGGGCATGGGGATTCTGTCATGCATGTTAGCAATTATGCATATAAAACCAGGACAGTGGTATTAATCAAATCAGATGAGTGACTGCATGAGAACTAGGGTGTGATATTCTGTAATGTAACTGCAAAAGAATCAATGAGAAATCTCTGGATCCAAATGATGGGCAGTAGTTTCAAGTGAAGCTTTATGGCAGCTATTTGCAAAATAAGGGGTCTCTAGACTCTTGGGAATGGGAGATAACCCACAGCTCAATGGATCCAGGGAAACCTAATATTCTTAACAAGAATGCTTTGAAATAATGCAGCTCTTACGAAGGAGGATGGGCTGGGAGATGAAAATCTGAGCTTCCTGAAATTTCAGGGCACTTTCTGGGAAGACTGAGAGGGGAACTTTCATGGCTGAGTGTTGCACTTTTGGGAAATGATGATCAGTGCAGGGCTGGGGTCAGGGGTAGTAGGCAAGGGCCCACTTTTCAGCAGAGCCCTGCTTACCTCCTGGAGTAATTCTTCATCTTGCCTTTTTCTCTGGCTCAGGCAAGGTTAGGGTTGGTGGGGAGAAGAACTGCTGCTGCCTTGTTTGCTCGCTGGCTCCAAGCAATGGAGGAAAAAAATGTGAGAAAATATTGGCCAAGGGCCCCCAAAATGTGGAGCTGGCAATACTCCATTGTCTGTTAGGTTCTCGTGACAAGACTTGGGGTCAATCTGTGGAAAATGTTGGGCCTGGCCCAAATCCAAATTCAGCCCATGGGCTTGCTGGATGTCAGTCATTCACATCTCTGCCTCTGTTCCCCATCAGTAGAACGGGAGTGTCGAGTGACCTACTTCACTGGGCCATGTTAGTAGTGAACAGCTCTTAAAGTCCAGATGAGTGATGCTTTGCTCCTACTGTTGTTAATAAGCAGCAGCCCTGCACAAATGCAGCTAGGATCTATCTACAGGGAATCCTGAGTGTGTTTGTCTGTGGATTCTGGGGACCCTGAGAGCACAACTCTTGGAAATTGATGTCGTTTTCCATTTCTGTCTCACATTTTCCATATTTTCTGTAAATGAATAAAAGTTATTCACATTCTGGGAAGGAATTACCTTTATCCAGGTGACTGAATAAGTGATTTATTTTGAGCAATAATAAAATGGCTCTAGTTGGTTTGAAATAATTTGGGGGCTTGATGGTTTTGCTCCTGTCACTAGATGGCAGTATACTCCAAGCATAGTCTCAGCCCTTGAGCCTGAGGGAGATTAGAAGGGGGAAAACAAGACAACAGCATCAAGTGCTTAGCCGGCCAGGATGGGCTCTGCTGGACTCAGGCACAGACAGGGCCCATGTGAGTTAGTTAGGGAGCTTGGAGGGGATGGAACAATGGTGATTTTGTAAAAAAAAAAATATATATATATATATCAACCATCCACCTATGTCAGAGTCTTCCATCAACAGTCCCTAAATCCTGCTTTTTGAAATGTCTCATAGTTCTCATAGGCACTTAGGTTCTTTTCCTTTCCTTTTCCTTTCCTCCCCCCTCCCCTCACACAGAGAGGGAGAGAGGGAGGGTTTAAAAATGTTTTTAGAATGTTTGATGTTAAACTCAATGTTTAATTTTACTGGTGAACAAATAAATCATGGATTTGATGCAAGTCTAACCAAAGAATGCTAATTTTTGGTGCAGTCCTGCATTTCTATTAAGAGCCATGTTCCACAGAGTTTAGTAAGACTTACTACTGTATTAGGTAACTAGGAATAGGATTACAGCCTCAACATGCCATTGGCCCACACCCCTAAGATGAATAATGGGGAGAATCTGCCTAAAAGCAAGGTGGGGCAGAGTTCAGGTTTAAGGGAACTATTTAAAATGAACCCCCCTGAAATTGGAAGTCCACCATGTGGAACCAGGTGCAAAATAGTATCCTGTGGGAATACTTCTGGAATCAAGGAAAAGGGGTGCCTCTGAACATATTCTCAGCCCAGGAATTTTTCTAGCACCAGAACTGAATTCATAGCCTAATCACATACAAAAAATACCCCTGGTTCTTCAACTTGAAACCAGAACTGGGCAGTGCATCATTTCAAAACCAGGGCATCCCTTCAATAAAAAAGGATATATGGCTCCTCAGTGTTTAACAGTGATTTAAAAAAACCATTGTACAATACAAAGCCTAACCACACCTTGCAGAGATAGCGTGAGAGGACAAAATAAGATACAATATTTCTATTTTTAGATAAGATTTGAAAGATTCATAACATTAATTTCATATATGTTGTATATTTCTATATATTAAAATAGTGCAAAACTTACTACTGTTTATAGAAATATTTATGAATATACTTCAACAAAGGCAATCCAAATATTTACACATTTGTAAATTATACCTAAACACCACCCATTCAAAGAACAACAGCTCTGTCAAATCCTCCACCCACTGTATTAATGCAGGTGGATATTTATCTTTTCACTGTTGTAATATTTGTCTTTCTTCTGTCAAAAGGGCATGAAAAATCTGTTTACATTGACCTTGTGTCGGTAAGTAGTTAAAAATGTATATATCATTAACTATTAAAGATCTTTCCATCACAACATTTATCCAATTTATTACCTCCTTCCAATATTTTCAGTAGTAATACTATGCTGATCAAAATTGAAGGAGGCCCTTGAAGTTCCTTTTTTTAAGTAAGAAAAGTTAGTCACTTACAAATCACCTATTGCTATTAGGGATGTAAGGATCTTGCATAATTCACCTGTATTTTATGCATTATCAGGTGTCATCCACTGTATCATTTGCTCATTGATACATGCAGATCCTCCCCTCTGGAAAAGCTTGCAAAAATCTCTCTGAATTTATGGAATTTTAATTAGTACATGCGTATAGTCAAGGCTATGGTTTTCCCAGTTGCAATGTATGGCTGTGAAAGCTGGACCATAAGGAAGGCTGAGCGCCAAAGGATTGAGGCCTTTGAATTGTGGTGCTGGAGGAGACTCCTGCGAGTCCCTTGGACCGCAAGGCGATCAAGTTGGAAACGACTTCACGACTAACAACAACAATTAGTACATAATGTTCTAATTACTTTTCTTAGGTCAGTGTCAAATCAATGACGATAGCCCACACATTAAAAAGATTGCTACACTGCCGAGGCTGAAAAGAGATAAAAAATGTATAAAATGTGTGTGGGTTTTTACTGGTGTCTACATCCCCATATATCAGATGACCCAAAATATGGGCCATCTTATGGGTCACAACTTCCTTATTTCGGATGACCCAAGCTGCATTTAATTCTGGAAAGTTTAAGAAATGGCCTGAGGAGGTAGAGTGGCTCAGAAAAGCTGGTTCTTTGTGGATTCCATGAGGCAAATTCCTAGAAATCAAGTGCCACACTGATCTGTTGCAGATTTCTCTGATATCTCTAACTGCTACTGAGATGGCTCTGTGGAATGCTGTTGCCTGAGTGGCCATTCCAGAGCCGGATGAACACCTTTCGGGGCCCAAAGCTGAAAATTCAGAACAGCATCATCCAACTGCTCATTAACACTGGATACAGCCCAGTGGGAATTTCAGCTCCTCACTTTTGTAGAATTTCCACCCATTTCTCTGGGGCTTGTTCAGGAAAACATCCTAGTGCAGGGGGTGGGTATCCTCTGGTCCTCCAGTTGTTCTGACTTACAAATCCCATCAGACCTGGCTGGTGTAGCCAATGGGGAGACATGATGGTAGTTATGGACTAGATATTCCAGTCTACCTTACCCCTAATCTGCTCTTCTTCATTCCACTTCAACTAGTCACTCTGTTGTGTGTTAAGCCTGCCTCCATCTCTTTCCCCCACTCTTTGACCAAGCAGCAAACAGAAGAACATAAGAAAGTCCATGCTGGATCAGACCAATGGTCCATCTGGTCCAGCACCCTGTACACATGCTGGCCCACAGGATCCTCCAAGCAAGATGGGTGCAAGGCCTCTTTCTGCCCAAGCTCCTCAGCAAGTGGTATATGCAGGCATGCCACCTCTGGTAAAGGAGGAAGCACATAGCCAGTGTCTTTGATAGCCTTTTCCTCCATGAATTTGTCCA